ACACGAGCCGCCATGGCTCGAGCCCGGTTGTCAAGCCTTAGCCCTCTTGGCTCAGACAAGGCTAAGAAACGACTCTCTTTCTCGGGCTCTCCTATGGCGGTAAGACGGCTTTCAGGGCCTCCAAAGCTAGAGAGCAATGGCAGCAAATGACATTGTAGAGCAAGGAGCTATAGAGGAGAAGCGTATAGCTGTTTTCTGACATCTGTGTTTAGGCCAAACTGAAGAGAAGATTATGTTGTCTTGTGTTGTGTTTGTCTGTTTGTTTATATCTTTGTCTTGATTGTTTTTTAGAGCAATTAACGATTTGTTTGTAGTGTGTTTGTTATTTGATTGTTTGATTGATGATTTTTTAACATTTGACTATGTTTACAATGTGGAGATTGTTGATCCATAAGAGACGATTTCGACAGAGATTGGAATATTTTTTTTTAAGAGAGAATGAAATTTTCGAAAGGCGATTTCATGTCAATCAAAGTTTTAGGGGTGGACGATTCGATATTCGGTTCGGTTTTTTCGGTTTTACAAAAATAGATACCAATTGATTATTATATCATATTCGCGAGATATGTATGATTGCATTAGAGGGTCAAAATATATTCAGTTTGCCACTACGCATCTAAGTATCGTTTTCCCTCTCTCACTTATCTAGCTTATTTGTGTGATCCCTTCCGTGGATGCGAATGAACACCGAGGACGGTATTCCGTTCAAGTGTAGAGAAGATGAGTCCGAGTACATTGTTAGAGGATATATCTACATGATTATTAGGCACATTTGCGTTATATATAGACATTGAGATTTTTTGGTTTTTCTCATAGTTGTATTATTAGGATCACGTGTATAAACCGTTTTGAGTAATGGTGAAAAATGATGATGCATAGGAATCGATAGAATCAGACTACCTCGAGAGCCCGTGTGAGCCGTCTTAGACTACTTTAAGTTTTGGAACGAATTGCCTAGACTTATTCGAAATGGTAGCTCGAATACAAAATAGATTCGATCTGACGGGTAAAGTAAATTGTTGTTTAGAAATTTAAGAGGCTCGAAACTGCCTAGTACGAACATATAGGTTTCCTAAGAATCATTTTTTTTCTTCATGCGATTACTGTGGCATTCAATAATGTACTGGCATTAAACGTTTTCTGTGTATGAAAACTTCCTAGTTAGATAATGTAAATGAAGAACTGTGAAATCAGTCCTTAGAAACAAGAAATCACTAGTGAAAATTTGATGACTGAAACAAATGGACAAGGAAAGTGCATTATCCCAATGAAACTGTCAATTCGGTTTCATGATGATTCTTATTAAGGTAAGGCCACAAAATCAGAGTAAGTAGAAAAAGCCAAGAAGCCAAGATGGAAGGTACGGACGGGCACATGGAAATCTGATCAGTATCCCCAGTAGTCATTCCGGATTTCATCGTCAAACTTCTTCTTTAGTTCCGGATGCTTCGCAAAGTATTCATCCGCCGTCATGGTGCTCAGCTTTTGCTGTTTATCGCCATAAAAGTGAGATAGGATTATAAATTATATAACCCACCCGCGTTGCAACAACAAAACATCGAGATTTTCTTCTTATTTACCTTCAATTCTTGGACATCAGCTATTTCTTTCTCCAGCCGTTCAGATTCCTTGAGGGATTTCTCCTCTGCCTCTTTCAGTTCCACCAACTAAACAGAACAAAAAAAAAACGAGCCATATGTCGATGAAAAAGTGCTTGTAGATGAGAACTTGGAAAAAACAAGGTCACATATGAAAAACAACCCAGTTTCTATAATGTTATTTGCTCACCAAAGCATCAAACTTTGGCTTGTATTCTGGAGTAACAGTGTCGACGTACTTGGGGATCTCAATGCCTGCAGCAGACCGGGAAATAATCGTAAGAGATGGCCATTAGTTAAGGTGACCTTTCCTATGATTCTAGCAACCAAAGAATATAACTATAGCAAGCAAATCATTTTGGTCACAGATAAAACAAATCCCACTTAAGTACTTAGATTTAGGAGCAAAGAGAACAAGCAAACAAAGATTTCTAATCAATTATCAAAGCCAAACTCGAGGATAGAAAAAGAAAAACCATGTAGATATCAACGATAACTAGGACAGAGATGACGATGATAATAATAACAGCAGTAAACTAAAAGCTCAAAAAATGTAACAATGATATGGAAGAGCAGCAGAAACATACTTTCATAAGCTTCCTTGTACATGTCTACTATGCGTGATCCAATCCCTTTTCTGTAAAAATCCCAGTCAATAGGTTCAGGTTCCTGCACAGACCAAAGGCTAGGGACGTAACAAAGCAGTCCACGAAACAAGAACTGGATAAAACAAACATACTAGATTTCACTTCATATCCCGGGGTTGGAGACTCCAAACAACAACGGGTGATTCAAATAAATAGATGAGGAATTACTATTTTCGCCACCTCTTGGTTCCTTTCTCAGAGGATTTTCTAAACAAAACATCAAGATTCTAAATGTGAATGAAGGATGCACAAGACAAAAACACAAAATGTTCTCTGGTTACTGATTAGTATGTCTTCCATTTAGATCAACTAATCTAACTACCTCACATGATTTCAGCATCGTCTTTCAGAAAATGACGTCTCTTTCTGCATAAGCAATTGAAAGGAGTACAACCCAATAAACGATTCCTGTAAACAATTCAAAACCAGCAAGAGCCACCGCAAACAACAATAGGTACCGATCCTTCACCGAATGAAATCAAATCGGACGACGAGATTCCCAAATCCACCATGAAACCCTAATATCAAAACTTCGAAGATCTAGCCGAATTTCACGAAATCGGGAACCAAAGCGATTGCAAACATGGATCTAAAGCAAAAAAAATCCGGGAGATGGGAAGAAAGAGACCTGACTGAACTTTGTCTGAAGCTGGGAGTTCACTTCATCGAAAGCACGGCGGAGGTTGGAGAACTCCCTGCGAGCCTCATCGGAGACAAGAAGCTTGGCCATTCCATCCCAATCGATGGTCCTCGAAGCCTTGAAGGCGACATCTACGATTTTCTTCCCGGCTCCGCTCATTTTCTCGCTTTTTCTCAGGTTCTTCTCGTTAGCCAAACACTGACGCAGGCGGAAGGGGGAGCAGAAGAACGAATGCCTGAACGTAAAATAGTAGAATACCGAAAAAGCCCCTGAATTTATCATAATTTTGCATACAGATGGGCATTTTTAATTTTTCGTATATATTTAATTCGAGTCGGTTTTTCCTTTTAAGAAAGTTTGTATACATTTTGATTCTAATATAACGTCCCTTATTAGACTTAGAGTACTAACACTTCGATCGCTCTCCAAGTGTCAATCGGATCGATCCGGTATGAGCTCGTATTTGATCCGAACGCTTTTGGATTTGGATTTGGATTGACTTGATTTTTTTCGGATTTATGTAATTAAGTCTGAAGTACGATTCGGGTGAGATCATTCTACATAGTTTCTTTTGTAAATGTTTTTTTTTAAATATCGGGTTTTTTGGTCGATCCGAATTGAGTTCAAAATCCGATTTAAATCCGACCCAAAAGTCCGATTTTTTTGGACCGAAGAACTTAGATTCGAAGCCATTAATTTTTGGGGTAGGTCGAGCCGAATTTCGGACCTAAATTGATACCCTATTATGAAGTATTGATATTGACAAAATTTGAAATACAAGTTATCTTTGTGAGGTTTGTGGAGTTACACAGAAAAATCATAATTCTCATACATTCGAATTCAGTTTAAATTTAATTCGACTATCAAGCGATATACGACATCAAAAATACAATAATGATGTATACGTCATATTGCACGTGATTGATAAAGAGTTATCTATCTAAATAACATGATTTTGAACGTTTGAGAATTATGAGAACTATAAATCTTATTCTACTAAACAATTTCAAAGATTTAATTAATAGTAGGATTTTATTGATATCATTTGATTATATATCTCAATGATAGTTGATAATGATAGTTGATAATGCCAAAAGTCTCGCATATTTTATTAAGAATATTTAGCATTTTCTCGCTAATTTTACGATGATTATAGACGTTATAGATCATGTTTGATTTTGGTTTGTTCCATTTTTTTTGTTAAATATACAGATAAAATAACATAAATAAACATAAAAGATTGAGAATTAAAAAATCGACCCAAAGAGTCAAAAGAGGATCAAATATTGCAGAGATTCAAACCTGGTCGGACTACATATGGTCAATCTGGACCACAACGTGCGAGAAACGACAAAATTATAGAGGTTTGGTCCGGATCTAACCAAGAATCGGTCTGTGCGGACTTCATAGGCAAAATCGAAGATCAAATTCAGTTCACAAAATCAGTCCGGACCAAACCCAAACCAGTATGTTCTCTTTGGAAAACTTTCTTTTTCGCCGAAACTAGTGGCGGAATCATTTTTACTCGAACCCCCTTTGAATATCACATTGAAACTTAATACAAAACAAATATTAAATTGGTTTTTTCTTTACATTTACTAAAATTCCTAAGATGAGCCTTTGCATAATATAATTATTTCACTATTAATTAATATTCTTTAATGCTCTACTAGACTCCTACTAATGAAAAAAAAAATTGAAACTCGGAGTTACACGGATTCTAAATAGTCATATGATTTTTTATATCATTTATCTTTTCCACGGAATGGAGAATTTTATTTTATCTTTCGATTTATTTCAGAGTATTGGAAGATGGCTGTTAAATTTGAGGCACGAGATCTCATGATCCACGTGGAGGGCAACGACCGAAAGTAGTTTAGTTGCAAAGATTATCAGCCACGTGCCAAAGCACGTGCTTGATCTTTTTCATAACCGCTCGTTCCCTCGTTTGTCTGCCACTTGGCTTGTGCCGCCCTTAATAGTAAATAGTAATAACTCGCTTCGATTTTTTTTTTTTGTTGGTAAAAACGCTTCGATTATTAATGTTTAAATTTTAAGTGTAAAATAGTATCTTAATATCTTAATTCATTTTGACTGGATAAACATATAAAATTCAATTTTTCAGCAATAAATATTTGACGAGTTCCAGTAAACTATGATTTTCTATTTTCAAATTATAATTGTTAAGAATATTTTCTACATCTGTATCTAAAATCAATTTCAAAAAATAGGGAATATTTTTACTTAATGAGGAGAATTAAAATTGGAGAATTAGTTGCAATAAACTTTCATAGTACAAAATTAGTAAAAATAGAATATATCTCAAAATCTTAACAAAAAATTGTGTTTCATTATTTAAGTTTTAGATATAAAAATAAATTTGTATCATGATTAGCTCAAAAATTTAATTCTTTACGATCTTAGGAGATTATTTCATATATTTTTGAAAAAGTTCAAAAATCATTAATATATATATATATATATATTCAAAACTATCCATCTTATTTAATACTTAAAAATAAATTTAATACACGAGATGCCTTTGAGAATATATTTAACAAAAATTAAATCTATTATAATACGTCAATTGTAAATGTTCACGATTTATTTTGAATGTACGAATACATAATTGTGTTATATATATATATAAATATACTGTGTTTAAATTTGAATGACCAAAATTATACAACTATATATAAAAAGATAAGAACAGAATCAAAATAAAAACAATTATTCTGTGTGGAAAAAAATTAAAAATTCTACATAGAATTTCGTAAAATATAACGATTTTTGGTGTAATTGATGGCATGGAGGAAAGAGAACAAGTCTTTGGGGAGGCAGAAAGAGGCCATTTTGCGTTTATTGTCCACACACTACAAGACAATAGGATATTAAGAATGCCGGTTTTGTTTCTTTTTTATCATTATTATTTTTTTTTTTGGTAAAAAACCATTATAATATTTCAGGTGATACATTTGAAAAAGTTATGATCATCTTCCTACTATATATCTATATATATGTTACTTAATATAACCTTTCATTCTCTTCAATAAATTAGGAAACATAATATATATATATATATATATAAGGTATATGTTTATTTTAATTAACTTGGAAAATAGAAGTACTTAATTTTATACCAAAAGAAAACAATTATCAAGAATTTAAATAAAAATATTAAATCATGTATCTCGAATCAGCGAGCACCCATGAATTAATCTATCCTTGGTATGCATGTATGTGTATATGTGTGTATATGTATATCCTTGGTATATGTATGTGTATATGTGTGTGTATATACATATGTATATGACACTTGGAAACTTTTAATTAATGCATTTCATATCTTTATGGGTATGCATGTAAATGAAAATGACAAAGGAGACAACAGAAAATGAACTTTTAGCTTAAAGTTCCCTCTAATTTGGGAAAAGTCGGTCGACATGAAAACATGCAATTGACCCAACGACTCTCAGCCTCATTTTACCCCAAAAAAAAACATAAAACAAAGAAACTCAAAGCAAAATAACTATGTTATCGCCTCAAATTTCTATTTCATTAAATTGTTACAAAATAAATAATTTGTATTCGAGAATTTATCCGACCCATATTATTATTTAAATAAAAAAGATTTGATTGAAATTTATCAGACATATAAAAAATACGATTTTTGAATATTTAAATAGATTAAAGATAAATTTCTCTTGTATTATTAATTCAAATATATGATAACTTATACAATTCATCCACCCTAAACGGTATTATATAAAAAATATGCTTCATATTCTATTTTGATTTTAACCCATACCTTTTTCTATTTGTGACAATGTGAATTATAGTTTGATCACATTGGTCAAAACATTAAATTTATAATAGTTTTATCAAATGATTAGTGTGATATATAAAAGGTGAACATGGTGAATTAGTATGATTACAATAAATTTAACGTTATGACCAATATAACTACCATGTGTTCAAATTATAATTGTGGTTCCATGATCACAAATGGAAAAGAGTATGAATTGAAGTCAAAAGAGCATACGGAAGATATTTTTTTTATAATACTCCTCTAAATCGAACTAACCCAAATTAAGTCGAACTTATAGAAAATATTAGTGGTCAAGTTCTTGTAATATATCATATAAACTTATAATTCAGAACTTTGTGCGAACTCACATCTTTTACTCTATTTGGCTATAAACAAAACCCAAAAGAATACTAATTAGATTTGAATTTGGCTTTCCTCTTCCTTTATATCATTTTTTATCAAATTTTACCCACTATTTATTGCAATATATTGGTTTCACCTATCTAAGATTAGATGACTCAACTAGTAAAAGATGAGACAAAACTTCTTTCCAACTCAAGTTTAAATCTCCACTTGGGAAAGAATATTTCTCTGGATTTTTTTCGGTACTATAAAAACGTAGTTAGATGAAAAGTATAGTGAACTTCTACATTATACATATATTGGTTTCACTTGGGTCTAGATGAGAATCGAATCAAATTGGTTTTAAAATCTCACACAAAATTTAAATCCCGTAAACTTTAAGTTGTTTTTCGCTTTGTTTATATACATATATATATATATATATATATATATATATATCCACCTCTTATCAACTTACCTAACATGTCATATAAAGAGACTCTTTAAAAGAGCTGGTACTTATCGTTTTATCATATAAGGTGTTGTACCAAATGTTACTTTTTTTTTCCTTTCTAAAAGTTAATTTTTCATTAGCTGTTACGTAGCATATACCAAAAGAGTAGGTCAAGGTATCACGACGATCATGTGTGCGCTGCAGGGCATGCATGTAATTCAAAACAAAAATGGAGGGTATTTCGGGAATTCGCCTCTTTCCCTCTCCACCTCTATAAATACATGTTTTCAGATGCATCCCACCTACAAGCAGAGCCTTAACCCCAAAAAAAACACCCATCCTCTTTGCTCATCAAGCAGGTACAGCAACCAAATATATACATAGAAATATGCATACTTATGAATATACATACATTCTTCTAACTCTTTCTTGTAAGACTTTGAGCTCCGTGATTCAGAATGTGATTCCTTTAATTCTCTCATAGCAAAGTTCTTTTTCTTGGGGACAAGATGGATACTGGAGCCTCATCAGGATTGGTCAAGGCCAAATCCGAGCAGCTGCTAGACACGATCTCGGCGGCTCTGGCCACTTCGCCTGGCGGCGGCGGAGGCGGCGGCAGCAGCCATGGGATCCATTCGAGGGGATCGAGCAAGCAGCTTTCGGCAGTGCTGTCGTCTTCTTCCCCAGGCCAAAGCAACATAAGGAATACATACATCAGGAAGGCTAAGAGCGCTCAGCCGGCTCTTGATGGTGCTGCTCTGAGTCGAGCCTCGAGTGCCTCTCTTGGACTTTCCTTCTCCTTCACTGGGTTCACCATGCCACCTGAAGAGATCATTGACTCAAACCCGTTTAGCGACGACGATATCCGTAAGCATATTTTTTTTTATTAGATTTGTTTTCCGATGGCTTATTGTTTGAAGTGGAGACCAAACTCGTCTGCAATATATAAGCCTACTAGCAGTTTCCCACTGCAAGTTGCAAAATTACCTCATGAACAGAAACTTAAAAAAGGGCAGCCCGGTGCACAAAGCGTCCCCGTTGAGCGGGGGTCGGGGGAAGGGTCCCACCACAAAGGTGTATTGTAGGCAAACCTTACCTTGCAGAAATATCTGCAAGAGGCTGCTTCCAGGACTCGAACCCGTTACCTCAATATCACAATGGTAACACCTTAACCGGTGTGCCAAGGCTCCCCTTCATGAACAAAAACTTAAAAGTGAAGAAGAAAACCAAAAGCATTGAACATGGAGCCCAATTATGCACATTTCTGAAGAATCTATTTGTGTATGTTTCTTACTTGATTATTATGCATGTGCAGCGGAAGATGTTGAAGCAGGACACGACGAGCTAAAGTTTCAGACAGAACCAACCTTACCAATATATCTGAAGGTAAACCCCTTTCTGACATGAACATTTCTGCTACATTACCTTCATGCCATCACATTTGAACAGGGGCACGTTCACATCAGCAGTTGCCTAGATTGGTCTTCTGATACTCTCTGTTTGGGCGCAGGCACGGATGGAGATGTATCTAAACGATCAACACGAAATCCATAGAAATAATATTTTTTTGGCTGGCATTTGGTTAGTCCAGGTTCAGTCTTGTACACGGGTCTTGTCTTTATCTCCTGCAGTATTTACGTACAAGACAGACTTTGCCTTTTACTTCCATAATGACGAAGACAAGTTGTTTTCAGGAGTTAAAAATCATAAAAGACTTAACTTACAATAGAATATCTTCGTCATTGCATTAAGACGCATCATAAATCTTCATAGACATTGGAAACCTTGTTTGCTTCTCTGTTGGTCTAAGTTGGTGCACCGAGTCAAGCTTAGGAGGCTCAACAATATACTGTTATCAGCAACATGTGAAGCAGAGCTTCACAATGGACCAAAGGGTATGGCTATCTTGGCATTGTTCTGCAAAAGCATAGAGAGCAAAGTCATGATTATGTTACTAACAGATTTCTCGAAAAATTTGTGCATACACCAGGTACTATTCCCACAAAACATACTAACCAAAATAATATACTCTCTGATTCTCTGCGGTGCAGTTCATTGATATCACTTACAAGGTAACCAAAGGAATGAAATCATCTGAGAAAACGATCTTGAATGGGATTACTGGTTCAGCATATCCCGGTGACCTTGTCGCCCTCATGGGACCTTCAGGGAGCGGGAAAACGACTCTTCTCAACTTGCTTGGTGGCAGATTGAACCAGCAAAATGTCGGTGGGTCTATCAGCTACAATGATAAACCATATTCCAAGCATTTGAAAAGCAGGTTAGTCCAACAGTGAACAAATCGATTCAAATTCTACTTAATTAGATGCATAACATTAATGTTGGGAATCTATGGCAGGATGGGGTTTGTAACTCAAGATGATGTTCTGTTCCCTCACTTAACTGTAAGAGAGACACTAACTTACACTGCTCTTTTACGTCTTCCCCAAACCCTGACAAAACATCAGAAGGAGCAAAGGGCTCTTAGTGTCATCCAGGAGCTTGGCTTGGAAAGGTACATTACATGTAAAGTAACATTATTCAAAAGTTTGAACCGAAAGATCCAAACATGTTTTGCATTGTAGTGCTTGAATCACAAAATGTAACCACCCTCCACTCAAAGGAGAACAAAAAAACATACCAAGACCTAAGGTTTATGTCTAAATGATATATGAGTGTCAGTAACTCCACATTTCTAAAGCTGAATCTCGAAAGTGTTAAGAGTAAACAAAACAATTGTTGCTAATGATTAGGTGTCAAGACACAATGATCGGAGGCTCCTTTGTACGTGGCATCTCAGGTGGGGAGAGGAAGAGAGTTTGTATTGGAAATGAGATCATGATTAATCCTTCAATTCTTTTTCTTGACGAACCCACTTCCAGTTTGGACTCTACAACTGCCCTAAAGATTGTTCAGATGCTACAAAGCATAGCAGAGGTTGAACATCTCTCTTTAGAGCTCCCCGAACAAAAAAAAATAAAAAAATAAAACCTTCATGTGTTCTTGTTTTCTTGCTAAGGCCTAAGGCCACTCTTATTTATGATAGAAAAAATGTGAACAAAATCTTACTTGTTTCTGGTGGTTGACGGCATGCAGGCAGGGAAAACTATTGTTACAACAATCCACCAACCTTCAAGCAGGCTCTTCCACAGATTCGATAAACTGATTATGCTCAGCAGAGGAAGTTTGCTTTATTTTGGGAAAGCATCACAAGCCATGTCTTATTTTTCTTCCTTAGGGTGTTATCCACTGCTCACAATGAACCCAGCAGAGTTCTTGCTGGACCTGGCAAATGGAAACATGAACGACATCTCAATACCATCTGATCTAGGAAATAATGAGCAGACAGAGAATTCGTACACAGTGATACGGTCTTCAAAACCAACTCCTGCAGCTGTATATGAGGTAAGAAATATCCAAGTCAAGAATTGCCCTAATTTGCTAACCGATGATGTCCCTTTATGTATCAAAATAGTTCAATCAAGGAAATGAGTAATCTAACTAAAACTTTATGTTGATTATTTCAATGGCTGCCGAGTTGGTTTTGTTAAACTAAATATGGGTATTCTAAAACTCATCTATAAAGAATTCATTTGCAATATTACTCCCTAATTCAATCAATCTAATGACATGTCGATTTTATCAGGCATAACAGCAAAGATACAATGGTGTTTTTAGTAAGAACAGAAATGAATCAAAGGAATCCTTTTATAGTATATTTTATAAATGTAACCGTGAGACGTTCGTGTGAAAACAGTTTCTTGTGGAGGCCTATCAGACACAATTGGCAGTAGTGGAGAAGAAGAAAATTATGACACCTGTTCCTCTAGATGAAGAAGTTAAACTGATGATCTCATGCCTAAAGCGGGATTGGGGATTAAACTGGTGGGAACAGTATTCCATACTTTTCCTTAGAGGCATCAAAGAACGGCGACATGACTACTTCAGCTGGTTGAGAATCACACAAGTTCTCTCCACAGCCATCATCTTAGGGTTACTTTGGTGGCAGTCAGACAGTCACCATCCCAAAGGCCTGCAAGATCAGGTAACTTTCCACACAAAAAAATAAAAAGAAACAAATAGAAATATATCAAGGAATAAGTATGCACAGAATGCATATTCTCACACGCACATATGTGAGCAAGCACCAGCATATGGACATTAGCATGCTCTAGATGTCCAGACCACTAACCATAAAGTATGGAATTAGCACAAAAAACATGAATCTACCAATTCCCAATCATCAATCTAGTAAAAAAGGGCATATCTGCAACTTGTACAAGCAATATCAAGTAATCTCTTACATCAAAAGTGGAATTCTTGCATTTCAGGTGGGGCTACTCTTCTTCATTGCTGTCTTTTGGGGTTTCTTTCCAGTCTTCACTGCTATCTTCACATTCCCTCAAGAGAGAGCAATGTTGACTAAGGAACGAGAGTCCAACATGTACAGATTAAGCGCATATTTTCTGGCTCGGACCACAAGTGACCTCCCACTCGACTTGATATTACCTGTACTCTTCCTAGTTGTTGTCTATTTTATGGCAGGACTGAGACCAAAATCTGAATCCTTTTTCCTAAGTGTCCTCACAGTCTTCCTCTGCATCGTGGCAGCTCAGGTATGCACATAAAAGTTAAAACTCTATCCTTGTGAAGCCATAGGAACGAAATATCCATGATAAATGGCTACACTAACTGGTAATGATGAAAAATATTTTAGGGACTTGGATTAGCAATCGGGGCAACCCTAATGGACTTGAAAAAAGCAACAACTTTAGCATCAGTAACGGTGATGACCTTCATGTTAGCTGGCGGATATTTTGTGAAGGTAAGACATGCATGTCTCCAAAAACTCAGATCATCAGTAGATGAGATGGTTTCCCAAAAATGCAGTCAGAGTCAGGATCTCTCTTCTCTTCTACTTTTGATGATTTTCAAAATTAGGGTAAGTTCCTAAACCATAGTAATGTGATACAGAAGAGCTAGAGCAAGTAGAGTAAGTCACTGCTCTTACCACCTTTCTTTATGATGAAATGCTTCAGAGATGTTTCGCCCTTAAGCTCCAAAATGAAAAGGACAAGGGCCTTCTAGAATTTGTACCCACCTGCAATAAAATGCATGAGCAATGCTAAAACGCTTCATTGTAGAGGAGTTCTACAACTATGATGCATGCACACACGATGCATTCAGTAGGATAGGGAGTAAAGAGGACTGGATGCATTTGTAACTTACAAGTCCTTTCTGGATTTTGATTCGCTGACTCTTTCTTCGCAGAAAGTCCCAATTTTCATTGCCTGGATTCGTTACATGTCCTTCAACTACCACACTTATAAGCTCCTTCTCAAGGTCCAATACCAACAAATCATGCAAAATGTAAATGGAGAGCAAATAGAGAATGGGCTTAAGGAAGTCGGTGCCCTGGTAGTTATGATATTTGGTTACCGTCTCTTGGCCTACCTCTCTCTTCGGAGGATGAAGTTGCAGACTGGAACTTAAAGAAAGACCTCAAAATCAGAAGGAACATCTAGCCCAGCAAGATGCCTGCTAGTCTACAAGCTATATCTTTTAACTATATCTTTTAACACATGAAACTAATAGCTTTGCAAAAAATAATCATGAAGAATGAATCCAAAACCTTATCAATTTAAAGACAAAATCATCTGTGAATATGTCCTGTTTAGCAGAGGCACAATTCATAGCATAAGTCGCATATGAGTACGCGTACTATATTAATGAATTTCGATTATTTGGAGTCAAAGGTAACATTCTGGGTATTGTTTTAAGCGGACAGTTTGTCCATTGTACAAAACAAGAGTTTATATCCTTAATTATTTTGATAAGGCAATGCCAAATTGCTAATAAATTACTAACAGTATCAAAAGGCACGCTAGATTACAGCTGGTTTTGATGTTATACAAGACAGGTAAACAGAGAATTACACTTCATGTGATTTTAAAGCCTGAGAGGCAAGTATTCAGATGTTCAAACATTGAGGCAAAAACAACTGTGTCAATGCCACGCTTTCCAAAATTCTGTTTTAGTTTCGTTGTGACATGTCCAAATAGTATCATGCTGTACCTTCACCCTTAGAATCTTATGCCAGTGTCCGTATCCAACCAAGCAAACCAAGAAGGGCCGCATCAAGTACGGGAGACTTCTTTTCAAGCCCTGTTGGAACAAGGTATTAGGAAGGGAACAAATATGCTGCTTCTATTTTTAATGGAAATCTATGAAATTATATAACAGATATTTTCTCTTCCAAAGATGTTAATGCTGCATGAAAAGACTGCTCACCAATGTCAGCAGCTACACGATGAGCACACATCATTCCCGAAAAAGCAACAGCTATAACACCTTGACCAGGAAAACAGCTATCCCCAACACAGTAGAGACCGTTTACAGCCTATAAGTTATCAATATTTCATTACCAAATCAGATTAGGGAACACAAAGCTGAACTACAAAGACAATCCGTGCACTAATATCCGTTTCCTTAGACTTACTGTTGTGTTGAAAGGCATGCCCAACAAGCCCTTTGGAGTTCTGCTTGGCATCGGCCCATAAGTTCCATCTGACCTAGCAAGAAACCGTCTGTGCGTCTTTGGAGATCCCACCTAGCATGTTTGGGGAATGATTTAAACATGGAACCTAAATCTTATGCACATCTCACAGATACTTAATCCAAATTAGCCTTACACCTCTTCTCATTTACCCTACTGGAAGTACAGATGTTTCGCATCAGAAAATGATTGTTGATAAAATAAAAAAAAAGGGCAAAAGTTTTATACCAACTTTAGTGTTAAGGGAGCCAATATAAGAACTTTATTGTTCCATATTTTTTTTAAATTATCATTGTGATGCTGCATTACAATAATATGGAAAGGGAGCAGAATTCCTACCTCCATAAATTCAATAGATGAGCTGAGCCCTGGAAATAGTTTTTCTTCTAGTCTCTTGATAATGTCAGCAGCCACAACCTCCTTTTTTGCCTCGTATTCCTTTGGAGGGAGTCCCTAGTGCAACAATCAAGATGAATAGGAAAATTGAAGATGCAGACATATAAACCCAATCCTGATTTAAAATACCCCAAATCCATGGATTTTCTGAAAGAGGATAAACTTGGGATAGATAGGAATGACTAGCTAAAAATTGTTTTTCCCTCTTAAAGCAAAACTTACCTCCCAATCCTCTATGGAAGAAGTTGTAAATATGTGAAGTATATGCCGACCATCAGGAGCCAAAGATGGATCAAGTACTGTTGGGATGCTGAGAAATATGCTGCCATAGGGTTCTTCTAGCCTCCCCCAATTACTCTACACATGCCACGAAACACAAAAATCTATAACTCTGTGACCTCAAATCTTCAACGAAATGTAGGAGACTGGCATACTTCAAGAACAAAATGATGGCAATCTGTATCGGGAGGGAGAATCTCTGCTTTAACACCCATGTGGATTGAAAAAAATGAAGGAGCCTTGACATAGTCCTTTTGGAATTTTTCTTCTTCATCTGGAAGCTTTTCACCTTTCAACAGCTTTCCTGTAACATGCAACATACCATGCAGTTGCTCATACAAAAACTAACACCCACCAAATTGGCCAAAGAGAATAAGAGGACGGATTTGATACTTCTAAATGTGTTTTTTTTCCTCTTACCAAACGTATCCCATCTAGTAGCATTTGAGATTATGGTTTTACCGAAAAACATTCTACCATCTGACAGCATTACACCGACCTGAAAATTTTAGGTAATGAAAAACAATCACAAAACCCTTCCTTGTCTTCACAAACATTAAATTCGGAGTCTCCGAGACATTGACTAACAACAGAAAGACTTAAACTTACGGCTTTCCCATCATCAAGTATTATGTTTTTTACATTAGCCTTGTAGAGTATTTCACTGCCTTGTTGAACTAATCCTTTTGCCAAAGACTTGGCTATTCCACCCACGCCACCAGCTGGGTAATTAATTCCACCATAGTGCCTGTCACATAAAACCTGCTCTTGAAAATATAGCAAGGAGAGAAAAAAAACTTTAAGTGTACCCAGGGTAGGCATCGAATGTCAAACAGTCGTCCTACCATACTCGCATTGATCATCGGTGTTTTCAAGGCATTGACAGTGCTCACAATGAAACACTGCAGGAAAATATGAATGGTTTATTCCAGACATCGCTCCTTTTAGATAAAAGTCTATAAATTGGAGAACAAATTCGAAAAAGGCCCTTCAGGGGAAGAAATTCGAAAACTCTGGGGAAAAAAGTAGAAAAGGTTTAGCTGCACCTCTGCATCAATGAAAGACAATAACTGGGGATCCTTTATGTACTTCCGAGCTATATCCCCAGCATTTTGGGGTATGTAATAAGCTGCAGACGAGTCGTTAGAGAAGAACGTACCAGATTTAGCATTGGACAAACACATGACAATCCAATTCTGAATGTATTATATACATATTAACAAAGTTACAAACTCGAAGACAAGATAACAAAATTATGTTTTGAAAGCTTGAGATACACACCGAGTGTCAAGCATGCAAGGGGCTTCTGAAAGAATTGTCCAAAAAGGTAGATCGGCTCTTCTAGTGACTTCAGTTCCAAAGAGTTCAGCGAATTGAAAATCTGCCCATGCAAGTAAGGCTGTAACGTGAATCTACGCAATGACATGAGAATACTCGCAAGGAATTCAAAGTAATCAATACGGACCTTCCAGCAGTCACTGTAGAATTTGAGGATCCCTTCCTTTTCATGGGGAAACTTGCTTATGAGTTCTTTGATGAAATCATCATACTCCCTATGTACCCGAACAGAAAGATTATTCGGTAGATGGAAATGGACAGTTGTAGGATCAGGAATAACCTCCATCTTACAGCCAACTGCTGCCAGTGCCTGAGTTATCAAGTTCAGGTTCCCCTGTTCCATTCAAAGACATCATTCCGACAACATAGGTAAGAACTTTGAAAAAGTTTAGGTTCTTCCTGGCTCAGTCTACACATCGGTTTTTACTTATAGCAAAATCATTAACCATTGTGATCTAATTCTGCAGAACACAACCCATGTAGCTCAAGAGATGAAACTAAGAACTGACCTTGTCACTGAAACCGAACATCACAGAAGATCCTACATCAAATGTAAATCCATCCCTCTCGTAATAACCAGAGCTCCCACCAGGAATCACATATTTCTCAAGAACTAAAACCCTAGCTCCCTTCACTGCTAACTGAGTTGCGGCAACCAATCCTCCAATCCCGGAGCCGATCACAATCGCATCATACTCACTCTCTCTGCCACTTCTTTCATTTCTCTTCGCACCCTCTACTTTATCAACACTTGAAACACATTCCACCGTCACTACAGGCTTCTTCCTATTCCCCAAATTTCCACCATGAACCCTAAATTTCGAAATGCCCTGCTTGTACCTCACCAAATTGGAGTTCGTCGATGCAGAGAACCAAAACTCGCCTCTTGGGCATCTGGGTATTGCATCACTCAGATGCACGGGATATTGAGAACATAGATTCATGCTTCCAGATCGTAAGAAATGAACTCCACAATCCTAAATCATCAAAAGGCTTGGAAAACTCTCCAAACCCTATTGCTAATCTGCTCAAAAAATTCTTCAGATTATGTACAAAGAAAGCAAAGCAAAGCAAGAGGAAAATTATCAGCGAAATTGGTGATCCACTATATCGAAGTTTGGCAAGTGTTTCATCAGAAAAAGACAAAAAGAGTTTGGGAGTGTTTCGCCATTAGAGATAAAAGACCCACTTCTGGTGTGGTGGTGGTGGAGGTGGAACAAAGAACCGACTCGAAGCAAAAAAAAATAGCTTTCTTAATTATTTTTTTTTGGTTTAAAATTATGGCCGTTGATCCTTCTTGGTGGGATTTTCCTTTGTTTTTTCAATGCTACAAAAATAATTTTATTTTTTTATTTTTATGAAATGTGATTGATTCTATTATTTTCCAAAAATGTACAAAATGTTTTGGAAACCAAAACTGTTACAAAAGAGGGACTCCCATTCGGCAAAAAGCTTCTCGAAATAATTTTAATTTTGATATCTAAATAAATATATTAGACTCTCAAAAAATACTATTCCTATGCTATTTTGACTTTAAAGTTATCTTCGTCTAAAAATATACATATATATACATATATATATATATATATATATTTCATCACTAATTTTATAATTGTAATTTTTTCATATTATCCTTCTATACTTTACAAAATTTATTTATATATAAAAATGGTTTCTCTATAGTGACATTTCTCTCTCCTGTTAACACGAATTATGTGTTATTTCTACGATAAAATTATTGAAAAAAAACAAATTACTACAAAAACCATAGAAATTTGATCGAACTGAGACCAAAACTGCATAATAAGTTAGAGTTACGACCCAAATTTCGATACGAGATTTATTTTGCCACAAATTCTAGGTAAATTTCGTCAAATCCAGATTTATTTTGAATCACATCTGTTTTTTTTATATTTCGAAAGTCTTAATGAAACACAAATGGGATGTAGAGTGACACGAATCGTATGAGTCTCACAGTGGCAAGAGTTATATGAGTCCTGGAATACTATTACTCCTCTTAGTTGTTGGACACGAGTCGGGTATCCGGAATTTTCAGAGTACCCGATTCCGGACTCGAATATCTCGAATAATATATTTCGTAATTCGAACTCATACCTGTGGGTTCGAGCCCGCGAAATGATATCTGGATATACGCGGGATATCTGAACCGGAATATTTAAACAAATTTTGTCTAGCTTGTTATACATATACGCATAAAAACTGTCCCAAAACAAACAAACAAAAAAAATGTCACGTAAATACAAAATAGGCCAAAGCGCAAGTTCACATGATCCTCATTCTGGTTAGCATATACGTAGACATACAGAAGAGTGATGATTCTACCCAACACACAAACACAGCATATCATCGAAGAAACACAAAACACACAAGTAAAAGAACACAGAATCTGGAGGCGATGGTGAGAGAAAGTGATTCGAGAGGGAGCGACGAAACCCTAAACCACAAATTAGAGAAATACAAAGATATATGTATATATGTTGCGAAGAAAATCATATATTAAAAACTTACATATAAATAATGAGATTTATTAGATGATTGTGGTAAAACCACCTCATCATCATACGTGGTGTTTTTCTTAATTTCTATTAGACTATAAAAATACTCATTAGTTAGATTATTACAATTAGCAAAATAAAAATATTTATGTTTATTACATAAATACGAAATATTGTTTAAAAATAAATGATATTTAGTGGAGTAAAATATTAAATAGAAAATTTTAAAAAACGTATTGTCATGCCCCGCTAGTATCCACATTTATTATTTATTTTTTTTCCTATTTAATTCCATTTATTGTATTCTTGTCTCATCGTATTCCCTAACATGGTTGAAGTATTCTCCAATACCCTCCAACACCGATTTCTACAATTGGTTTTAGATTAAGGAGACAACTTAAGGTGACATGAGTGAGAATTGTACACGATCCAGATCATCTTATTTATAGATAAAGCCGCCGAAGATCCAGATCACCATTAAAATGGATTCATATAAGTTATTTATCGGTGGGATATCTTGGGTGACAAATGGAGATCGGTTTTGTGTGTATTTGATTCCTTTATCAATTGGTGTTTAAGAAATTATATATTTTTCTATATAAAAATAAGTTGCCATTGCACAATATAATGTGCTTTTAGTTTATTTTTATTTTCTGTTAGAATCCAAATTTGAGTATTGATGTATATGTATATATTCGATTTTTTTTCTTTTTACATGTGTGGACTTCACAATTTATGATTCACATGTATTGTGTAGGAAAATATTACATAAGCGTGTACATGTACTATGTATTTGTATAAAATTATTTCTGAAATTATATATAAAAAAAGATATATATGTATATATGAATGTGGAAAGAGTTTAAAGATTTTTTATACCACATAAGTATTTTGTTTGTCCATTTGTCTAATATTTGACGTAATAAAACATTTTATGAAAAATCTTTTTTAATATCGTGTTTATTCTATAATTTATTAATATAAATTTAAAATATAGAGAATATTCTATTACATAAAAATTATATTATAAAAAAATTTATGCCACGTGAGAATTTTGTTTTTTCAATTGTTCATTATTTGCGTAATAAAACCTTTTGTGAAAAATCTTTTTAGATGTAATAAATTATTCTTATTAAATGTCGTCTTTGTTATATTAATTTACTAATATAAATTTAAAATATAGAGAATATTCTATTATATAAAAATTATATTTTCAGAAAGCCTTGCATAAAGAGCCTTACATAATAGGACAAGCCCTAAATGAAAATGAGTAAGGCCAAACTCAAGGCCTCAAATTCTCACGAAAACTATTTATAATCACCAGAGGTCCAGATTCAGCCCTCAGCCACTGTTTAAGGGGGAAGGAAAGTCTCGTCCCTAGGGTTTACGTATAATATATATTTTACTACAAATGTATATAAATTTCTAGTAAGAAAAACAATGAAATTTAAATATTCTATGTTAAAGACGAATAGTTTAGATTTTATAGTCTCATTTATCCTTTTTATTTTATTTTTATAAATTATATTTCTATATATTCTAATTTATATGTATTTCCTATATATTCCAAGTTTTATTAAAAATTTCTGCATAATAGATCGTACAAATTGTTTAATTAAAGATTCAACAAGTTATTTGATAATGCATATTTAAATTATTTAATATGAAATATGATTATTACTACTATAATGTGAGTATATGCATAGAAATTCAAATTCGAAACTATATATAAATTTATGTACACTAACCTACAAATATAAAAATAATTTTGGAATCACATAAGATAGGAAATAATATTTCCCTAATTCACGAGATGAAAAATTTTATCTCACAAGGTAATTCACGGATCAAACAAATTATAAAGGTAAATGTCTCAAGAATTTAAAAAACCTCCTGATTCAATATTCATAAAAAAAAATATATATATAATTTTAAGAAAAATTGCCAAAAAAGCTATGTACTCTTTTCAGGATCAATAAAAAAACTCTATATTTTTTTGTTACTAATTAAATCCTATACTTGGCGTGATTAACCTATAAAATTCTAAATTTTTTAAAAATTCGCCGAAACCCCCTGTTTTTGACAATTCACACAAAAATAATGATGTGACAATGGCATGCCTTCCAAATCATGTATACATCATTATAATTATATCACATCATAATTTTAAAAAAAATTTAAATTGAATAATTTATTTAAATTAATATATATATATATTTAAAATAAAATTACTTATAATTAATAAAATATATATATATACACATAAAACTACCCCAAATATGGGGGTTCGGCGAATTTTTAAAAAATTCAGGATTTTATGATTAATCACACTAAATACAGAGGTTAATTAGTAACAAAAAAATATAGAATTTTTTTATTGACTTGAAAAGATTACAAAATTTTTTTGTCGATTTTTCTTAATTTGAAAGAAGAAATTACCTAGAACTAATACCTTTACGCTTATTTGGATTGAAAAAAATCTTGTATCTTAGCCAGTATAAAAATAATACATGAACTTAATTTTGAAATTAAAACAACCATAATTAATTGGCTAATTAAGGAAAATATATATTTCATTAACAAGTTTTAGCAAATAATATATAATTCTTTTTAAATATATATTTTTCCATGTTTGGGGTAGCTTTAAAACAAAGAGACATCACCAACTAACGTCATTTGACGTCGACGGAAAAACTAACAGCAAATAAAACGTCGCCGTTTCAGAAATTAATATATATAACGTGGAGAAACCTCACGCGCCAAACGCGTTCTTCCACGGCACGTAGCGGAACAGCGTACCCTAGGTTTTGCCTTTGTGAATTTACATAATAGACCCTCAACGTTTGATGAATTACTCATATATCAAACATTTTTATTTTTTGTACAACTGAGGTATGGAATGGCTGGTTAATATATTTTAGAATTGTAAATTATTCAATTTTGTATCCTACATAAATGGCACAATTATATCATAAAATGACTCGCTAAATGAATTACATAAATCACAATTTGTACTAATGACTTAGTTTTTATAATATTTGATTGACTAAAATATATAAAGCATTCAGAGTCTTGACTTAGATACATATTTACAATATAAATAAACACGCGTAGATTAGAAATTTCATTATAATTTAGAATTTCATCTAGGATTTACATATATTGTTATGGTATAGATTTTAAATCAAGATTGCATCAAGATCTTTACAAAAAAAAAAGATTGTTACATTTATTAAACGCTTTCCAAAATTAGTTTCATTCTTTCTTTATTTCCCCCAATTTTTATGTCCGTTCTAATGTACTTGATCTCATTTAATTTCTTTATTATTTTGATTTAATTTATTTCGTGTCCCATTTTTCTCGTCCTAACCAAATTATTTAAAAATAAACCGATCTAACAGTGACACCGACACCGACACCTAACCTTTCTGTAGAGCCGGCAGTCATTTCTTTCTTCCTCAGCCACCTTCTTCTTATTAAACTGGTTATTTTCCAAATAAAATTCTTTGGATAAAAATTTAAAAAAAAACACACCAAAATTTCAAATTTTAACAAAAAAATATCAAACTTTTTATTTTATCAAATAAATAATTTTTAAGTCTGACAAAATAAATATTTAACTTTTTTACGATTATTAAAATAAACAAAATGATTGACGCGACATAAAAAAATTCAAACACCTCAGATTATTTTATTTAGTTTTTTTACAATCGAAGAAAATTTATGTGATTTTTTGGATCATTAAAATAATTTATATATTTTTTGGATCATTTAAAAAATTCAGTGTTTTTTAGATTTATTTAAAAAAAATTAATGATTATTTGATAAAAAATAAAGTTTAATATTTAATTTATCAAAATTGAAAATTTCAGTATTTTTTTAAATTTTTTTTTCTAATCTTAAATGGGAAGTGTATATGTTCTATTATTAAATATTTTAGGGGATAATATGAATTTAATGTTATAAAACAATATACTAAATATAGATAATTCTTTTTATTAATTTGACTTAATAACAGAAACTATGCTCAGAAAAAATGTAGTTGCTCTCTTTTAACCAAAACAATTGTAATATTGGTATCCAAAAAAAATATAAGCTCTTAAATTTTGATAAAAACTCCTGTGCAATGATATGACGTACGAAATTGCTCATATGAATCATAGGTGTGATTACGTGATCGCATACATATAATATCATCTACCACAGAGAATAATTGCAAATAAAACCAAGTATATCAATATATAAACATATATACACAATACATATAAAACATATATATATATATATATATATATATATGTATGCATACCTTTTTGCGTATGTATATACGTGTTATGTATGTATAAAGATTTATATGTATGGATTGATATTTTATTTTTATTATTTATTTATTTTTATATAGTTGTTTTATTTTTAAATCATTCTTTCATGATAGATGACATGCATGGTAAATTGTGGACTTGTCATGTAATTACCGTCAAAACGCTACGTTGTCGTGCTTATTATCTATGCAAATATATTCGTACATCACGTCAGTATATAGGATTTTTTTTTGTCAAAAATTAGGTGTTTATATATTTTTTATAAAATGTCGCAGTTTGAAGTTTTTTTTTTACAAAATTTAGTTTTGATATTAATTTGTCGAATTTGAAAAGTTTAGAGTTTTTTATTCTATTTTCTCTTATATAAATAGAGTTAAATTTTGTATTTCAAAGAAAACTTTTGAGATATTTATTCATTTATTATTTTTAAATCGAGTCTATTTAAAAGAAAAATATAGTGGCGATAGAATAATTTGGAAGAATATAATAAGATGATGAAATGAACGAAAAAGTGCGGGAAAAAGGTAAAATGTAAAGTTTATGCATACTATAAAAATCCGTTTAAACAGTGAATTAAAAATGATTACTAATCACAAAATCCAATTATAATTATAATTATGGTAACTGTCTTGGTACCACTACAATAATTAGATAAATTATAAAAAAGACAATTAATGTAATTTATTTTCACTATTAAATTAGGAAAACGATCAAATGAAACAAAAAGCCCACCCACCAAAAAAAACAACAATGATTAAAGAAATGAAAAGAAGAAGAAACTTCACCTTCTCTCTCCTTCTTCACAAGCAAAAACTCCCTCCCACCTCATTACATTTCTTCAGTTTGCCGACACTCCATTTCCTTCTTCGTCTCTCCCTCTCTCTCTCTCTGCGACCGCCATGGATTCTCTCTTCTATGGCGTATCCAAGCTCCTCCTCTTCTCCCTCTTCTCGGCCTCCATTGCCGTCGCATTCTCTGAAAAACCAATTTCTTCTTCTTCTTCTTCTTCAGGGTCCGGTCAGATCAACTCCAATTCCGTTCTTGTTGCTCTCCTTGATTCCCACTACACAGAACTCGCTGAGCTCGTGGAGAAAGCTCTTCTTCTCCAGACACTCGAAGAAGCTGTCGGAAAACACAACATCACCGTCTTCGCGCCGAGGAATGAAGCTTTGGAGCGAGAGCTCGACCCTGAATTTAAAGCGTTCTTGCTCGAACCCCGGAATCTCAGATCCTTACAGACCCTCTTGATGTTCCACATTGTTCCTCAACGAATACGGTCTCATCAATGGCCCCGTGAAGATTCCGGGTCTGTCAGACACCGCACCCTCTGCAAGGATCATGTGAACCTGATCCAATTCCAGGGTCCGAATCGGAGGAAGATGATTGATTCCGCTGAAATTATCCGACCCGACGATGTGATCCGAACCGATGGGATCATCCACGGGATCGAAAAGCTTCTGATCCCTCGCTCGGTCCAGGAGGACTTCAACCGTCGGCGAAGTCTCCGATCAATTTCCGCCGTGTTACCAACCGGAGCTCCGGAGGTCGACCCTAGGACCCACCGCCTCAAGAAGCCAGCTCCTCCCGTTCCCGCCGGAGCTCCGCCGGTGCTCCCGATCTACGATGCCATGGCTCCGGGACCTTCTCTAGCTCCGGCGCCGGCTCCGGGGCCCGGAGGACCCCACCACCACTTCAATGGCGAAGCCCAGGTGAAGGATTTCATCCAAACGCTCGTGCATTACGGTGGATACAATGAAATGGCCGACATTCTCGTGAACCTGACCTCGTTAGCGACGGAGATGGGTCGGTTGGTGTCGGAGGGTTATGTCCTAACGGTGCTTGCTCCGAACGATGAAGCCATGGCAAAGCTGACAACGGACCAACTGAGCGAACCAGGTTCGCCGGAGCAGATCGTGTATTACCACATCATTCCAGAGTATCAGACGGAGGAGAGCATGTACAACGCCGTGAGGAGATTCGGGAAGGTGAAGTACGAAACGCTGCGTTTTCCTCATCGAGTTTTGGCTCAGGAAGCAGATGGGTCGGTGAAATTCGGGCATGGAGATGGATCTGCTTACCTGTTCGATCCAGACATTTACACCGACGGTCGGATTTCGGTTCAAGGGATTGACGGCGTTTTGTTGCCGGAGAAGGAATCACCGGCGAAGCAGAAACCCGCCGGTGCTGGGGTCGTGAAGAAAGCTGCTAAACCCAGGAGAGGTAATTACTCTTTTCTCATGCTTAATTTTTTATGAATTAGGGTTATTTATTTGTTATTTAATTTGTTCGTTGATCTTTTTACATTGTGAAATTGACGGTCCAAATTCTTATCACTTTACCCATTTACCCAAAAAAAATATAAATCTGGACACCTAATAAATTTTCTATATATACAATATTGAGTTGTGGCCGTAGAAATTACATGTGCATATGGGAATAAAGGAGAGCGTAAAAAAATAATTTTTTTTCTCTTAACGAATTCGATAAAAAAAAAAAAAAAAGTTTAGGGTACACCGACAATCGAATCCCATGAAATAATTAATCAATAAAAAAAAATTTCTAAGCCAAGCTGTGAGCCAAATTTGACGACAGCTTGTCTATTTTACTTAAAACTTAAATCCCACCGAAACTATATATATATATATACACACACACATATAAAAACCCTATCTTCCATATAATTTCTTTTGTTATATGCATTGAACATTAGCTGGTATTAATCATGTCGGAAAAAAAGAGTCAATCTCTAATATTTTCACGCCTTGGATATTTGGATTCTGAATATTGTGAAAAATTTGTATACCTTTCCAATTTTTATATTGGATTTTGGTTCATTTGGAATATTATTTATATTCGATTTAATTCGTTTTTTTATTAAAAAAAATTCTCGTTTTACCATTATTTTTTTCTTACAAATTTGATTAATTTGATTTGAAAATAATATCTGATTGGTTTTTAAAATTCAATTCAATTTATATATTCATTTTAGATATTATTTGGTTTGTTCCTTATATTTTCTAAACCGAATTTGAAATTTGCTTGAATTTAGCTATTATTTGGTTAGATTAATCATTTTATACTCGGTAACAATTTTAAAATTTCTAATCCTTTATTTTACATAATGTTATTCCATTCTATTTTATTTGGGGTTTTAGACGATACAACAAAAAGACAGTATAGTTTTTTAGGAAATGTCTAATTACCATTTTTTTTTCCTCTCTAAAATCAGGGAATATCTTTAAGTAGAAACATCATTTATTTACGAATAACTTGTAACGAAACTGTGATGGTTTATTATATATTTCGGACAGGTAAATTGATGGAAGTGACATGTAGAATGCTGGGAGCTGTTGGACAGGACTCGCGATTCACTTCTTGTCAATAAAACTTTCACTGTAAAAAAAATGGAAAAGAAATTTTACCAACTGCTGTAAATGAGAAATTCCAACATCTGGAAACTTTTCCAGGGTCGGTTGAATGTGTAAATGATTTTATTTTTGGCGCTCTTGTTTACGGTTTCTCGTGTTCACTGTATTTTTTTTTTATACATATATTATGGACAATAGATTTTAAAGATCTGTTATTTTAAAAATAATTACTACGTACGGATATTCTGATCCTTCTTCTTTCTATTTTCTCGATCCCATCTCTCTTTAGCCACTCTCGGCTTTCTCTCGGTTCCTTTGTCCTTCCCGGACTGTGAATCCCGACAAGCTTAGTCCGACTCTTGTCGAACTCCGCATGGTTATCTCGACCGAGACTCATCCTTGCGTCTTTTGGTCCGAACCCTTTCGATCATTCGAACCCCCTTTCCGCATTGAGCCGAATTGTCACATGAATTTTCTCGTTCCCCCGAAAAAGTGCGTGACAAATGGTATCGGAGTCTGATCCGATACATGGACCAGCCGCACGCTTCCGCATCATCCCGAGAACCAGAAAAAGACGATTGAGACACACATTCACTGAAGGGAACCATGCCACACTCTCGGACACTCACAAAGGTCGATCCCAAACCGCCGCGATAGTCTCTGAACGACGGATCCGGGGCTCGAGGATCACACAGACATCATGGAGTCCCAGCCAGCGTACGCCGAGCGAACCACGAAGAGCACACTGAGGTCCTTACCGCGCGGACGACAACACCCACCGGACATCTTGACAGGTAACACATGCAGCTTTCCAAATCTCACCCCATGACAGTATGGCTCAGATGGTCCTGGGAAGGCAGATCTCGGGGCCCTACACGCAAGTACCCTCTGATTCGTTGGGTGGTGGGTTATAAATTTAAAACTTACCATGCAAGTACCCTCTGGTAACGTTTTGCGCGTTGTATCGAATTAAACCCCATGTGCAAGCCCCCATCAATTCCTTTGAGTTTCGGTCTTGCGATCGTACTCCCCAGACGGAATGAATGTTTGAGTGACATACTCGCTGGGGGACAAACTCCACCATAACATACATGTTACATCGCATGTGTTAGAATCTGATCATATAGTAAGTGAATGAATGGATATCTCCTTCCTCATTGTATGAGTATTACGAATCATATATTGAACCAATATGATTATGAAGATGTTTTCCCTTTTTTATTATCACTGTCAAACGACGTGCATAAACCTCTGAAAAAAATCAGTTTCGATTTTCGACGATCAAGCCACAAAGACGTGCATGGGCTGCTATTGCTAAGGCTCAGGCAACAAAAACATGTAAGAACAGAGATGATGCAAAAAAGAAGAAGCCGTTCTCAAACTTCCCTGGTCAAGCTCGAGAGATCGACGTGCCCAGACTCATGCCGTGTAGGGGCATTATCGTCGTCGTTTTCGTATGAGTCTCTCTGACGGCCGTCTTCAAAGGGCGCCCCTCGGCTTGTGGAAGGATGAGAGGACAGATCTCTGTATACATCGAACATATCGTTTGCCATATCCTCAGCTGCATCGAAGAAGCTCTTCATACCACTGAAGAAATGGCGTTCAATGGCATCTATGTCACTTCTCAGTCCAGGGAACTTTAACGGGTCTTCCTGCTCAAACCGATTAGGGAGAGAGGGATTGCTGATTTCTTCTTCTGTATACTCTTTGTTGGAGTGAATAACTTCAGGAGGCCTATATCGGATAGAGAAGAACAGTTTAGTGACAAAGCATTGAAGAGATGCAGATAGAGAGCAATATACACTTTGTCATCCAGAATGCAAACAAAATCCATCCAAGAATTATATGCATAGATCTCACAAGAATGACAGACATAGAACAGTTTCTCAAGTTTCTGTGTTTCTAACGAAGATTCAACTGGCAAATATCAGTATAGACAGGACCAATCTTGAAATTTGGTATTCAAATATCACACCCTCTTACGCTTGAATTTTTTCACAGCATAAAGATTCTGCAATTCAGAAAGAAAATCTACCAAGAACTGAAATAACAATTGATTATTTCATCAGAACACGATTAACATTCCGTTAGCATCTATAAACCTGAAACCCTACCGAATTCAATGTGAACCACAACCCAGAACGACAAATGATCGACTAGCAATGAAACTATGTCAAAAGAACCCAAGTTCTCGGGGCTCATCTCTTCCGTCAACCTGAAACCCTAGGAACCCCAATCCTACATATATGCAACCCATTAACCGCGTTTTCCTGAACGCAACCCAACAGAGGAGAGAAGGACTCAGAATACTCACATCCCAAGACAGTGGCGGAGGACCTCTTCCGTTCTCTCGCACTTCTTGACGAATCTCCCAGGCTCGACCTCCTCCGTCTTGCATTGAGACCTCACCACCTTGGAGGTGGAGCATTGGCCGTCCCCGGCCGAACCACCGATGAAATCGTCGCCGTCTGTCGCGGATGATTCGTCTCTCCAGACCCAACCCATGGCGCTGAGTTCTTTTTCCTGGATTGTTCCCCACGAAAAATTGAAGGCTCCTATCCTATTTTTATAGCTCATTTTCTTTTAAAAAAAAAATCAAAGATTAAAATTTAGAAAATTCCAAATGTGAATTAATTACATATTCCCTTTTTCTTTTTTATCCCAATTGTTTACAAAATATTCACTAAAACTGGTGTAGAAGTAAATTGGATATAAAATTTTACCAGAGAGGACTTTTCATAATTATTTTAAATCTTCAAAATTAGGAGAGTGGGACTTCGGCCTATATGCAATGAATGGCCCAGAATTATCGTTGCAAATTCGGGCTCCGGTCCATGTCGAAATGTGACACCGGTCTTTCTAGATATTTCATATTTAAATTATGTTTTAATTGTTTTATTTTAAAAATATATTTTTCTAGTTTATAAAAAAAACTATAGCCATTTTGTTAAACAAACTTGGTGATGCAAAAGCCATAACTCAAATTGGCTAATCATAAAATAAATAAAGACAAAAGCTAAATAGTTAAAATATTGTCGCAACGCAACTCTGGGCCATGATAAACATAAACTTGAGATACAACCAAAGTCAACTCCTCGAACATAAACAATCCATAATAATGATGATGATGCGGTTCAGTACTTATGCAATGCCGGTTATTCACCGTCACCATTCTTGTGCGGAAACCTGTTGAGTCATTTGTTGCATTGCTCGTATACGCTACGTTGATGATATCATCAACGCTGGCAATGATAATGCTGCAGTTCTCCAAAAAAAGAGAGAGGGAAATTTCAAAATCTTTCATTTCATACAAGGCCACGAATCATCATGTTGTTTTTAACACAGTAGCATCAAAGATAAACGACAAAAGGAATATTTTGTTGTATAACTGAATATCAAGCAAGATCCAAACTAATCTCGTGGGTAGAAATCAGTCATATGATTTGAAATACACACCATCTTTCCAAATTTGAGGTTCGAATTCGGAGAACAGACATTTTACCTCCTATTTCACCGGTTTAACTATCCGTAAATGACAAATGCAACTTGTTAACTCATCGAGTTTTTAGGTCAATATTATTCGGACCTACATATCTCTTTTGTGATAATCAATCAGCACTTTATTTGGATTCGAATCAAGTATTTGATGAAACTCGAACCATTCAAAACAATCGCAATAAATAATGATATAAAAAAAAATCAACAGTAACTAATAAAATTCTAATCAAATTGAACAAAATCTAAATCAAGTTTAGTTCAGTTTATATTTGCTTTTTAATTTTTTTTAATCAGAAAATTATCCGTTCCAACAACGTCGCATATCTTTGAAAATTAGACTTGCCAAATGTCAAATTTACGTTTTTTTCCTTTTAATCTTTCTTCGGCGTAAAAGAATGTACATGGGTCGATGGCAATCATAATATAGAACTGCCGAAATTAAAAAATAATAATAAAAAGAAGACAAAAAGAATGAGAAATAAAAAGTTCCGGCATCAGGACATCCTTGTTGAGCCCACGGAGGCCGCGGCGGAGGCCAACGGGACGACTTCAGCCAATGGCGTGGCGACAGGTGTCGGGAGAGGAGAAGTCCGACAGACGGGGCAAGTTGGATTCAGCCGGAGCCACGTGTCAACGCACTTGACGTGGAACATATGGTTGCAGTCTGGCAGCTGCCGCAGCAGATCGCTGGTTTTGTAATCCCCCAGGCAAATGGAGCAACACGACGTCGTCGAGTCATCGCTCCCTCTCTTCATGACCTTCGCCTCCGAGTAGAGTATCTTCGGGTAGCCCCGGATTGTGTCCTCGTCGAGCCCCGGGATGTGGATAACGTGGACGAGGCCATCGTCGACATGTGTCACGTTGTGATTGGTCCGTGACGGTTGCGGATGTGACAGCTGGCTACGTGTGCAGTAGTAGGAGGCTAGGGTTATGGTGGTGATGAGGAGGAGGACGCCGATGGAGACGCCGATACCATAGCGAAAGCTGCCTATATCATCCATTTCGAGCATACCGTTGTAGTCCGGCGGAGGTGGCGGCGCTGCGGCGTAGCTCATGGCCGGAGATTTTGTGGAGGAAGAAGAAGAAGAAGAAGAAGAAGAAGAAGAAATTGGTGAGTTAGTTATTCATGGATATTATAAGACAATGTGAGAGTTGAAGTATTGGGCATATCAAAAAGTCAATGGTAGAGAGAGAGAGAGAGATAGAGAGAGAGAGAGAGAGAGAGAGAGGGATGCATGTGAATAAGGATAAGGAAGGTGATGAAAGCAAGTTTCATATGAACGGAGAAATAAAAAATTTTAAAAAAATTAAATATTGTAACTTGTGGAACGATTATATTGTTTCACAAAACTATCAACTATGACGGAATTCCTAACCTAATTTTGTGTAAATGATTAAATTATTGGAATATGCTTGAGATCGTGTTTGGTGTGAAGTATTCACTTGGCAATATGCCCTCTATACAAAAAAAACCCAATCAAATTTAGAAAAATATATATATATATATATATATATATTTGAGAACTAACATTTTTTAATTAGAAAAAAATCGTAAAATTAAATTCATTTCCAAGAGGATGAGTATAAATAATTTTTGAAATAAAAAAGTTACTTTACAAATTTTTAGTAATTAATTTGTGTTATTTTACTAAATTTTAATTTAAAAGAGTTAATATAGCCATATCTCTAACAGAAGGTAATCTATTTTTTTTTCTGTAGCGTTATAAAATTAAAAACTATTTAGTAAGAGCTATATATTAATGTTAGATTCGGTTCAGTGAAATTTTGAATTATTAACACCATGATGTATACAATCATACATCATTAAATAATTTCAACCATTAATTTTTTTTTAATCTTTCTTTGTATATTTCCAAAATCTACATAGTAACCGGAAAACTAAACAGAAAAGCGTAATTCTTTGTTTTTATTTTTTTGTTGTATCTACAAAACAATTTTATCCATGATAAAATCTGAACATCACGTACCAAAGTATTTGAGTATAATTAGTAATTTACACTTAACGCAATAATGATATTTCGTCAATATAACGTGAAAATATCCACTTCATCGAATAATCAAATAGATCCATTCAATGTAAAGAAAAGCTTATTTTACATGTGAACCGACATATATAAAATTATATTCTAAACTCTATTCTTTGTGGAAGAACATTTTCTTTTTCATTATCAACAAGTTGGATCAAATATATTTAATTATATAATTCTCTTTCAAATTTTATTGTATATTCAAATAGATAAATCAATAACAATAAGTCAAACCACTAGCTTATTCGGGACTATCGATGGATTAACTAAATAAAAGCTTATAGATATACATGAATTCATTATAATTTTGAATAAGCTCCTAGACCACGGTAATTAATAATAAAAAAATGAGATTCTCCAACAAGACTTATATATATAAATACACTATTTATGTGTGTTTGTTTTTATTTAAAAGGTGTTACAATGATGCATGGAGGGTCATAGATTACGGAAGTTTTGTCCCATTTCGTTAGAAGTCAACGTTCTTCGTTGGCACGCTAATTAAATGGTTACGTTTCAATTTTTTTTTTTTGTAATTAATTAAGTAATTTAATCAAATGGGTTCATTTTCTTTGTCCCCTAACAAATCTAAGTAATCATTTCCACAACATTTCTTAATTATACTTCATTAAAACTACAATAATATTTGATGGTCAAACACAAAATCTACTGTTTAATGAATCTTGTAACGGGATAGATTTTTGAACACAAACATCCGAATCTAAAAAAAGCAAAATTGGATTATCATCGTCCCAAACGCATACTAACGGGATCGATGAATAAATACCTAAAAATCGAATATCGCCTCATGGATTGAATCGATGTACAATTTTCAAATTTATTTAACCGTCTTTCTAAACATTCTGATATATTTTAAAATAAGACTAGAAATAAATTGCCCTTTTTATGTTTACAATCAGTTGATTATGTCAATATGTCTAAACAGGGAAAAAAGAATACCTATTTTTAATTATTTTTTACAATCAGTTGCGTTTGTGTACGGATTTGGTATTTATTTTTCTAAAAAAAATGATTCATCGGGTTATTTTCTTTGGAATCTTTATTTTTATATAAAAATATTTATTTTCTGAAAAATTGATTTATTGGGTTCTTTTCGTTTTGAAAAAAAAAATTATATTCATTTAATCTTTTAGATCAAATTTGATGTAGATATAATTTTATATTGTTTACGATATTAGCTCGTTGTTATTTAACCGAACCGAGATGGTAACCTGTATTTGAATCCAATTTCCAAGTCTTGAGATGTGTGCTCATGAATCCCAAAGAAGAATAAAAAAAAAAAAACTAATAACCAAAATCTACCGGCCTCATATAAGGCCACAAACTTGTAGCTGCGTCCACATGGGGTTTCCATTATTTACATTTAAGTTGGCATAACAGTATGCACTGCCATGACGCCTTGCATGCACGCATGTTGTATATATAATATATATGAATATACGTACATATACATATACGTATATCTATTTATATACCAAATCGATGTCTAAACTACCCATATATAGCCAGATATATATAAATGGCAGAAAGCATATAGTTCTACTGCTTCTTCTTCTTCTTCTTCTTCTTCTTTTTTTCGAATGCAGAAGGAAAATAAATAAATAGATAAAATAATAACTAACTAAATAAATAAAAGACGTGTATATACGCACGCCATCACGGCAAGATAATTGTACGCTTAGTTGCCTAGCACGATTCTTGCATGCAGTGAAAAAGACGTAACCAATATTTATAATACATGATTATATAAATTTCTAGAAAATTTATATCCATAGTCTGTATGATACCCGCATTGTCAAATATATATATATATATTTGATAATATTTTTAAAACAAAAACTCTCTTATTACAACACAAATACAATACATACAACACAAACATAAATTAGATGCACTTTTCTCTCACAATTGGTCATCTTCAATCCTTTCAAAAAGATCTCTTCTTAGAGTCTCTCTCCTTTAAACATAAAAGGATATTTTTTTTCTACAACATAGTTCCTATCATATATATATATATATATATATATATACACTTGAAAACCGACACAAAAATGCACCATAACTTCTCTCTAAAACAAATTCTTCAGCTTCCCCATTTTGGACAACTTCTACCACAACCGGTTTCACTTTTTTTCCTTTTTCTTCTAAACTTTGAACCAATTAAAAATCGACAATATTCTCAAATATTCAAAGAATTCTATGTTAAATAATAAATTAGAACCGATAAAATTTTGAAAAAAAAATATATATAAATATTATGAAATATTGGCAGAGGAATTTTAACCTCCGAGGGAGTAGAGAGATAAAACTTGTATCAACGGAAAGAAGGAAGGGATAAAGTTTCGGCAATATGTTAAACATACCCTTCTTTTGTTCGTCTTACAAAACTCTATTTTTTCTTTAAAAAACGAAACATATAAAAAAAAATAAGAGAAGGGTTATCGGGAAAAAAAAACTGTTTGAAGTTTGATACAGTCTGTATATATATATATTCAACAAGACATTTACAACTTCAAGTTGCAGCACTCAACAATTTGTAGCCCAATAGTTGAGAGGTGACAAAGTCATCTTCAAAGTTATATGTTCGATTCCACTTGTAGAGAGGGATGTAATTTCTGGATCAAAATGGTCCATATACAAAGGTTGATCCCGGATCTAGAGTGGATGTAGTCGGACGAAGGTACGAGGAACCATGCTGATTATAAAAAAAAACTTCTAAGTTGCAGCAACAAAACCGAACACAGAAACAATAGAGAAAAATAAGAGATATGGTGTTTCTTGATATGTTTGACTGAGGTCCCACTATGATCAAGTTCATCAACTCGAGGAAACCCCTATCTACTTTTTCTTTTCCTTCTTATGCGAACCCGATTAAAAATCCTTTTGATAGTTCTTACCCTTAACTTTGCAAAATTAACATAATAGCCCTATATATTTGTTTGAAGCAAACAAACCCCCTTTACTCGTCTTCTTGATTGGATGCTCCTTCTTTCACAATGAGTCTCACCCTTGTTTTGAATGCAATGATATACCATATTTGAAGGGAAAACAAGAACAAGCTACAAATCACTTCCTAAAACATTTGAATAATAACGTTTAAGAGATTTGATAGCACACTTGATAAGATCATTCGATCTTGATTAGAGAAATGTATATTATATTATAAAAAACTCGTTTCAGATTCATTTTTAAATCGTATAGATGTTGAGTACCAAAGCCAAAATATTTATTCTCTCTTGTCACAATGTCTAAACAGAATTTTGGAAAAAGTAAACAATGACAAGAACTCATACAAAGTGAGATTGGGTCAGGAACTATTATCATAACAACAAGCAGAGAGAGAAGAAGCAGCTTCTAAGCCTTTCCCTGTAACAAGTAATCCATCTGTTTGATTTGATCCCATCAAATACATCTACTTAGAATCTACCCAACTTGATCAAAGCCCTCTTTCATCGATATACCGAAGAACAACACTGTCTAATCTTTCGTTCCCCGGGATCGTCGTCGTCGTCGTCGGATGGATCAGACTCATCTGCAAACAAAGATCATCAATTGGTTCTCATTACTACAAAACAGCAGATGCATCAATGTATCAAACAGGCTTCCTCAAATAGTAAATGGTTAAAACCAGGTGTTTCCGCAAATGGTATTCTAACCATCTACAACGTCATTACTTATGCACCAGCCGAGGAATGAATCGGTATGGATACCGAATTCCACCATTTTCGACCAATGAAAAAGAATCTCACTGCTCAATCAGATGTTCATGAAAGACATTCATCATCATCCCCAGAATCAATCTAAATAAGAACCAGATGACGGATTTAGATTATACACTCAAGATCATATGATCACTGTGACTGTTCTTACTCCGCTAATTCAACGAGTATACACAGGCCAGTACTACAGAAGAATGTACAAATGACATCAAGTAGAACCAGATCGAGGACAAGAGCATACCATCATGTCGAACCGAGACGGCTTCCGCTCGATCTGGGTCGACCCAAATTGTCCGGATCCGTGCGGATCCTCTCATACCCACCCGATTTCGGCCGCCCGTTCTGCCCGTACCGACCCGGCGACCCGAAATAGCCTTGTCTTTGTTGCTGCTGCGGCTGATGATGATGATGTTGCTGGTGAGGCGATCTTCGACCCGGATCCTTGATTCGGAACGCGTCGGGTCCAGGTGTCGCCTCCCTCCCGACGAAACCCGGCCGGAGATGCGGCGGCACGAACCTGTCCGGTCTGGACGATTCAACCGGATTAACCGGAGAACCCACCTCCGGATTTGAAACCGGAGATGATATCGACGGGACAGAAGCAGGACCAGAACCTGTGCGACCGAGAGGACGAAGTGAGATCTGATCCGGATCCCGGTCGGAGGGAGCTTGATCCAGAGTTCTCGGGGTGAGAGACGGAATAGGCGAGATCGGCGGCGTGGTAGCGGCCGTGCCGGCAGCGGAGGTGGGAGAGATAAGGGGCTTCGTTGTCAGTGGCTTCTGGGAAGGTCGGGAGAGGACGAGCATGCGGCCATGGGAGCGAGCGACGGCGGAGTAGGAACCGGCGGAGGCGGCGGAGGAGGAGGAGGAGGAGGAGGAAGGGATGTGGTCTTTGTGGAGGATGTGGTTGAAGTTGATGGAGGTGTATTTGTTGTTGTTGGTTCTTGCCATAAAAACCCTCCTTTTGCTTTTCTTCTCCCTTCGATCTTGATCTTCTCTCTCTCTCGTTGAAGTTTTTGTTGATTCGTAGCAGGGGAGAGAGAGAGAGATTTTCCTGGGAAAATACAATAAAGTGTTGGGATGAAAGAAGGAAGGCGAGGAAGAAGGAATCTGAAAATTGTTGTTTGTGGTTTTCTATCGTTGTTTTCGCTTCCGCTGGTTTTTGTTTTTGTTTTTATTTTTTCTTTCAGTGTACGAAGAAGAGAAGAGAAGAGAAGCGGGACAAGCAAGTCATTATCCATTGTTTCCTGCGGATGATGGGTCCCACATGATGATTGGAGTCATCTGAACCGTTGATTTGGTTCCTTGGTTAACTATCTGAGAATCAACCAAAAATTTTAGTATCGTAAAAATCTAAAAATAATAAAAGAATCAATCATTTTGAGAAAAAAGTTACCGACAAAAAAGAAAATATCTCAAACTTTTTTACAAATAAATATATACATTTTTTTTTATTTTGTAAAAAAATCCATAAATTTTTTAATTTCTTGATTTTTCAAGTGATGTAAAACGAACTATTTCAATCCAACTCCACACATATCGATCCGAATTAACTCGTTTTTTTTATCTAACTCGTTGGGTTCATTTTTTCACGATATAAAAAAACTCTTGTTCAATCTAAATCGTCTAAACTCATGATACTATTTGCGAACCAAATAAAAAGAATAAAAAAATTATTAAATATAATAAAAAAGTTAAAAAATAATAAAACTTAAATATTTAAAACGGATAAATCTTTTTTAAACCTAAATACTATTTGCGAACTAGTCTTGTTTTGACGAAAACATAACTATATTGTAAAAAATTTACGACATCACTTTATATCAAATCATTATATTTGATACGTTATCATCTACAAAGTTTAGATTTTATTTTGTAAAAATCGGCAAATTCAAATATTTTTGAGATTTTCTCTTAATTTATTTAGTATTTAAAAGTTACGTTTTGTAAAACAGCTTGATATTCTGCTGTTTTCTGTTCTGCTCAAAGAAATAAGTGGACAAAAAAAATAAATACATAACGAACTAAAAGACATTTCTCTTCATCGCATCTGTCTCTGTTTCTTTGACTTGTTTGAGGCAGAAGAGTCGGATGGCGCAGTTGACGGCTTCTTCAAAGACGCCTTCCCCGAGCTCTCCTCTCCATTCTTCTTCCCTGATGAACACCCTTTAACAAGCTGAGATGATCCATCTTCTCCTCGACCATCATCATTGGATCTCGATGTATTCTCTCTCTCGCTTGTTTTTCCTCCCGATACCGCGGCGGATGATACATCCTTATCCTCGTTCACCTTCATTACCCGCTCCAGTAACCTCGCCTTTACTCTTGCCTTCACCTGTGCCTTAATGCTAGCTGCTGCAGCATTTTTCCTAGTGCTGGCCGGCTTCTTCTTGTCCAGGTGGGTCACAACAGATGGAATAAAGTCGAGATCTTGTCTTGCCCATCTGTACATTGCACTGTATTTACCTTCCAAAGCCTCCACAAGCACGTTCAGGTCATCGATAGTGTATCGGTACAGGAAAATCTTGACATTATTGGGACATGGGCAAAGCTGTTTCGCATGGACCAAACACGAGTAGCGTTCTGCAGAACACGGGCATCGAACTGCAGAGAGATACAGATCTGAAAAACATACACAGCATTCCCTCTTCCTCACTTCATCGTTGTGGTTTTTGTCCATCTTTTGTGATTTCAGCGGGTTGCAGAGATACTCCATCCGATCCTTTTCCTGCTTGACTCGTGCCTGAATTGAAGAAAAAGGAAACTAGCCCGATAAGTTGAATAACTTAAAGAAGACGAGGAATTAGCATAATAAGAAACAAAACATACCTTCAGGATCCTATGCAATATTCCGTCCCTTCCACAAGCATCTTTCCATTTCATGTTGCTGTCTGATGTGTTTTTCCTGAACAACAAAGATTCGGACTGACATCTCACGGCTGCCCTAGCAGCTGCTAGTAGCAGCTTGTCGTAAGATATCAATGACTTTTTCCACTTTTCTTGATTTATCAAGACAGCAGCATACCCATGAGGCAGCCAATCAAGGGGGGCCAGATTTACTTTCTCTAAACAGTTGAAACCAGTGTCAAAGCTCAAATAATAGGAACCCGGAAATATAACCACAAACTGGCCGGAGCTCTGAACACAACGTGTCACGGGTATACCCTCCATGCTCAATGCATATGGAGACATAGTCATAACCTGCCAAATGAATTGGATCCCTCATATTTCAAGTTATGCATAAGCTTGTTCATGGCAGATAAAAATATCCTAAGTGAATCATGCATGCGTTTTCTATGCTGCTGTGAAAATAGTAACTTGCATTAATGCTTATATTTATATATATAATGGTGCTTACAGTCTCACGATGAATCTCGGATTCTTCTCCGGAGAATTCTGCGATGAAGCGTTCTCTTGTAGTCTTGAACAGAAAGCTGCAATGTCCTGGAACAGCATACCAAACTCTCGGAGCACCCAAATGCAAATAGCAGAGCGAGTAAAGGCAGTCCTTCTCAACTTTCTGTTTACCGATATTTTTCCCGTGAAAAAAAAAACAGAGGTGTAAAACAAATGAATTCATTACAGTAACAATATCTTGTTGATTATGCACTTAAAATACTTCAAAATGTGTACTGATAAGAACAATTTGGCTTTTGTTTTTATTTCTTGGTTGGTTTTTAAACAATAAAACTTACCCAAAACTGCGTTGAAAAACACATTCCTACACACAGGCGAGGGACAGAAACAGACTCGCAGTCTTCAAAGGAAAGAAGAGAGCCAGGAAGCTTAGCTGTATTGTTCAGATTCCAACCCGATTTGCTAAATTTGCAAGACTCAGATGCGTCAGATGAGGTAAATCCACTGCCAAACACGCTGGTGTCTAGATCACTGCCGTAAAGCACCTAAAAAATCCTTCAAAGAGTAAGCACACTAACACGATCCATTAGTAAAAATTTGATTTTTGACATACCCCGAGTTCAACATTTGAATTCTCAACAAGTTGTGTATACTCCTGTTCAATGTCTGCCACAGACAGCTCTTCTGGCTTTAGACCCGAAACCCCATCCTTCATGCTAAAATGTTGCTTCTTGTAAGCATCGGCAAAGTTCTTGAACTTATCCAGAGTATATTGCGGACCAATGTCAATTCTACAAAACTGGACCTTCTTAGATACATCACCATTCTTATCATCCCAATTAGCCTCTTTCATCACCTCTGGATTATCGGTTTGAATACCACCACCAAAGAGTTGAACTTGAGTGGAAAACACCGAATGCTCCCAGATTTTCTTGCCCTCCAGATGACATGGAGGTTCCCATGAGGAAGGAGGAACAACACAACAGATTCCACAGGGCTCGGCCCTCTCTCGCAGGCTTGCTATATATGCAAATGTGTCACTGAATTCCTGGAGATTTTCTAGGTTTTGGTCAGAGGCTACGGTACATATGGTTTATAAAAGATGGTCTGAAACAAATTAAATACTATGCGTATGTTATCTTTCATTACATTGATGCAAGTATGAGCTGACCTCTTCAGTCGGGTGAAACACAGGAGCTTCCTCAAGAACTTCCCTGTTTTTTACTTTGGGAAACCGTCTCCCCAGCATCTGCACCAAGGTTTTGTAAATAACTGAAGGAAACAAAGCATAAGAGACAACATATAATCCTCATGCCCCCATCATCCAACATTAACAATCAAATATCACAAGAATAAACACGCCAAAAAGATCTCATCTTTAAACTTAAAAGGGCTGCCATCTGATCCAATTGTTTCAGAACGATCTCCTTGTCTCAGCAATGTGTAAATATTAAGTGTAGTGTTACTGCAAAAGGTAAATTTCAGAAGGACAAGTGTGGCTATCTTCCACCAAAAGAGATCCCAATGAATAGTTCCAGAATGACCTCGTGTTTCAGCGACTTCGATGCCTCTGAGCTGAGATTTGTCTGTTCAGGCAGTATCCATGGTCGGTTCCAAAGGCAACTCTTGAAACTTTCTGCATCAGCCATATCGGAAAGAGTAATTTCCACTTGTCCCAAAGCAAACCCGGAGGCCGGTCTTGAGCTTTCCCTTTCATGGGATATTTGCTTCAACACAAAGGATGTTTGGGACACGAAACCTGGGGGAGTTGAAAGTTTGTCCATATTTCCAGACTTTGAATACTTCCTTACAGCTTCAACCCCCATTTACTATTGCGTTGCCAAACAAGGAAGATATTTTCAGAATGAACATTTGCAAAAAGGCAATAAATTGATCTCCGTATATAACCATAAAACCTACAACTTCCCCTACAAAATGAAAAGAGTGAAATATCTAAAAGGTTAAGCACAAAAAGAGAGGGGCTCGAACACAGTAAGAAGGGAAACTCTTCGTACAGTTAAATTGAAAACAGAAACCCAGCAATTTCAGTAGGAAAAAATGCCACTTTCGACCCTTTTTTATCTAATGGAATCCATGATCCGAGTCATCCAACCTTAACCTTATCACTACCAAAACGAGAAATTGACTCCACATCAATCCATAGCATGTGTTTCCGGTTATCCAAATTTTCAAAAACTAGAGGAAGCATCCCTAAACCAACCAGCTATAGTCATGTAACCCACTGTCTGGACCTGTAAAATTGTAATCAAGCTATGTTTTTGAAGAATAGATATCTTCCTTCCAATGCTATGTACCACTTTGCTCCGATAACTCACACAGAAGACTACGTAATTCTTTGCCTATCATTCATTTCTGCACAATTTTGGATCTTTAAGACTGAAACAAGGGCAATTTCTGCATCGAAACATGTTCTCGCATCCTCAAGAACAAACCCTTCTAAAGGAATCGCTAAAGGTGCTCTCTTTGAACCACACAGCTTCGTCTAACTTCTGAAAACCCACCATTCGCGTTCCTAAGCTAAGATTATACTGTCATCAGTTTGACTCATGCCCTAATCTAAAACGAAATACGTCTGGACGGACAAGATTTGAAACTTGAGAGGCCAAGGCGTCGAACAACGTACCAGATGAAAGATGAGCGAGATACCAGACTTCAGACACAACCCAACCGAGAAATTTTGATTCTTGAGGTTATGAGATTCTTATAACTTCCGACCGAACGACCCGGAACTTCAAAGGGTTAGGGTTCATCAAAATTTACAACCCAATCATATGTTCTTCTTCTGGGTCGGGCAAAGAAGAGGAATCGTGCCGAGATTTTGGAATTTCTAGAATTTCTCTAATTGTTTGGAATCGAAAACGGATCTTCTCTCCTAATTGGTTGGATTGTAGGTGCGATTCACTGTACGAATTCCGAACATCAAGCCGGTGTTTGGTTTTTAGGTTTAGGTGTAAAAAATTAAAGGAAATGACTTTGCGCGACAGCGGCCCCCGAAACTTCGTTCTAAAATCTAGGGGTCGGCATTTAATCGGTTTGGGATACCCGGCTTAACAAGTATCCGGATATTAACGATGATGTGACCGGATTTAACGAGACCGAGTTTTTAACCATCGTATCCAGGTTCGGGTTTCGATTAACTCATAACGGGTACTCGGGATATCCGGTATGTTAATTAAAAATTAAAAATATCTTTATATTTATAACAGTATTTTATTATTTATTAAAATATTTTTTTTATTTAATTATTTTCTATATTCTCAATCTTTATAATTTATGAAATCGAATTTATAATTTATAAAATCGAGTTTTGAATGTTGTTTAAGTTATTTTTATTAAATTTTATAAATTATAGAATATTTGAATTATTTATTTATGAGATTCGGTATCCCTGAGTACGAGACTGAAAATCTCATTGAACCCGGGTTAGGGATATCCGGATCTCATGAAGCCAAGAATGAGATAATTTTTTCGTAAAATACGTGATAATGAGCCCGAAATCGGGTTTTCTAAAAAACGGGTACCCCACCCATGTCCACCCCTACTAAAATCTAAATACATCCGAAAAGCTTTTCGAAAATTCGATTTCTTTTTTTTTTAAATAAATATAAAAAATATTTTGATACAATTTTTAGAATCAACGAATCTCGAAAGAAAAACATAGTAATTTAAAAATCTTATATTTACATAAAAAAGTTTTATCATAACTAAGTGTGAGAAGTTTTACATAAGTATTTATCTAAGGAATTAAATAACCTAATGATATTGTTTTGTGGTTGGAGATAATTTATATAAATAAAATATCACAGATACAATTTTTTTTTTTATAATATGCTGATCATGAGGCGTTGTTGTTATTTGTATGCCGATCGTGAGATTGACACATAATTAAAGACTGAAACAATGACATGTTATTCATCATGGGAGCCAATGGCAGTTTATAATATAATGAATATACCAACCAATACCTTTTTTTTTCTCTCTTTGCACAATAATTTTCTGAATGGTATAAATAATTATTTTTCACGAATCAATGTAATAACGCTGGTGATATGATGATTGTTTTGACTTATTTATTACTATTGATTGTTGAAGAATAAATACTTATGTATAAGTCAAACGAGGATAAACCGGTCAATGTAATGTATTATTGTTAAATAATGTTCAATATGAACGAGAACATAGAAGATATCTTGGTGTCTGACCTGGTATAAATTTATTTATTTATTTATTTTTTCATGAATCAATAATAACACTAGATAATTTTATGAATATCTATATCTTGGTCATGCACTTCTTGTAGTTACATGCATGTGGGATTTGTGCATGTAATGAAGTAAGAACTTGATTGAAGATATGAAGTTGAAAACATGAGTACATTAGGATTCACTAGAGAGAGAGAGAGAGAGAGAGAGAGAGAGAGAGAGAGTAAATATAACAAAAACGTAAACATTATCACCTTGATATTGTCGCATCAACGGTGAGACAACTCTATACCGCAGGAACCGTCCTGCTGTTGCCGCCATTGTTGTCGGATTCCTCGTTTTCACCCGACATTTCCTCCAAAGACTTGCCTTTGGATTCAGGGACCAAGAAAGTGAAAAGGATTCCGAGGAAATTAACCACACCCAACACGATGAGAGAGTTCCTCACGCCAATGCCCGGAGGGTACCCAGCATCAGTCTTGGTCTTGTCCGGATTCTGAGCTAAGTACAAGAACCCGAAAGCTCCAACAATGGCTCCTAATTTACCCGAAGCAGCTGAGATTCCGTGGCAGGTCGATCGGAATCTTGCGGGAAAGATCTCCGCCGGAACCACAAAGGTTGTGGCATTCGGCCCGAAGTTGGCGAAGAAGAAGGTCAAAGAATACATGATCACGAATCCGATTCTGTTATCTTTATGAGTCCAGTGGTTGTAAGGTATGGCTAAGGCGAACATGAAGACGGTCATGAAGAAGAAACCCATCAACTGAATCGCGAATCTTCCGATTATGTCGATGAATCCGACCGTGAACCAGTAGCCGGGGACGGTACTGCACAAGGCGATTAGGGTCTGAGCACGTGCGATTCTGAACACTTCTTGGATGGCGTTCATCGTCTGAGCCGGGGGAATCCACCCGATCGCGCTGAAAATATCTTTCTGGAACAAGTTCTGGCTGTAGAAGGCGATGTCGAGCAAGAACCAAGTGGTCGTAGTTCCGAGCAAGTGAAGGCCATGTCGGCGGAGGAATTCTTTGGAGAACAAGGCAAAGGCATTGTTCTTGTCCTGAGAGATCTGTTCGATCTTCTGCTGTTCTGCTTCGATCTCCACTTGCAGAACCCTAGACATGTCCGAAGCTGCTTGCTTAGCGTCTTTCGCGACCAGGGCAGTGTATCGTGCTGTTTCCGGCATTTTCATTCTCCAGTAATACGTCATGGCCGCCGGTAAAGCTCCGACCATCACAATGATTCTCCAGACGTAGTCCGCCTGAGGAACCGTGGACGCGATCGCGTTTACTTCATACGCAGGCGCCGGAAACCGCGATTCAAACGCAGCCGAGATTATGATCGCGAAAATGCCGCCGGCCATGATTCCGAACCCCTGCATGGCGAAAACGGCGGCGATAAACGCACCGCGAGTTTTCTTGTTTGCGTATTCCGACATGATCGTAGCGGACAAAGGGTAATCGCCACCGATGCCGAAACCAAGCCAGAATCGGAAGAAACAGAGTGTGGCCATTACAGACTTTGGCTCGTGTCCGAACGACAAACCTGAGGCAATGGAACAAATGACCATAAGCAACAGTGTCATTCCGTAGACTTTCTTCCTCCCCAGTTTGTCTCCGAGCCATCCGAAAAAGAGCTGACCCGCTAGCGTTCCGCAAAACGCGACGCCATTAACGGCGGCCGAAACGTTGGGCGGTAGCGTTCCGGGCTTCTTGGCGCCGTCGACGTGGTAATAGATACGGCCGAGGAGCTTAGTCACCAGGGAGATGCAGAAGAGATCGTAAGCGTCCGTGAAGAATCCCATTCCCGCGATTATAATCGCTGTGAAGTGATACCACTGCGTTTTGGCCACATCAAGTGCGTTTAGCACTTGCAGTTGATCCCCCGCCATGGATTTTTCTTATTTTCCTCTGCAAACGCAACGAAATGCATACAATACTTAACAAACTGATAATTTTATGTAATTATTCATACACGTATTTACATAAAAGAAAATTTAAAAAAAATAGTTTCCTACAATTTATATTTCACAAAAATTGCCAAAAAAATAGAATAGTTTATGCAACTTTTTATGTAATTGTTCGTACGGAATTATTATCAAGATATACGTGTCATTTAATGCGTAATAGAGGAAAATATCACAAAAAAAGCTACGTAGCCGTACACGTATACGCATTTAATTGGACGAGATTTTTTTAAATGAGGCAAATAAAATTATTTTAAGAGGCCCATCAATTCGGGATCTCAAATGACCGAGAAAATAATTAAATATATATACAATGGGGAAATGACAAATTAAAGGTCGTGATGTAGAAGTCAACAGTTCTATATATTTCTATTATTCAATAAATTTACATCAAAACTCTCTCTCTGGTGGGCCCAGTAGGGTTCCTAGTTTACGTTTTGATTTTTCTAAATGAAAATAACTTCAAATTTTCATTAAAGGGTGCCAGAAAGATTGCAAGAAAAGAGCAAACCGGTCATTTTCATACATGCATTGCATGCATATATATATATATATATAAGCACATATCTTTTCATTTACTTTCTTATACATTTTATTTTATTTAACTTACGTTGACTTGTTTGTGTGAAAACAAAGCCACGAAGACACTGTGGAGACAGGGCGAATTGATTAAAATATTGCAAGACGAAACACATGTAACGACAAATTCGATTTCCATATTGATTAAAATATTAGAAAAGTCTCACTAGAAAAGTCGTCTAGGCGGGAAATTCCGACAACGAAGACGCAATCCAAATTTTTTTTTTTTATAAATAATTTCGAAATCTCTAATCACTCTTTATATAATATATTATTGTATGTGATGATAATTAAGCTTTAGAATAATTTAATAATGATACAGTTAAAAAAGAGTTTAAGGAAAAGGCTTGAGGCCAGCTAAGTTTGGCTATCCGTGTCACGATTTCCATAAATAAGTAAACAACTGGAAGTTAATTTCTGTCATGTTTGAATAAAAAGACTATCAAGTTTGGCCTAATTACTATCACTAAAATAGCAAACCTTTGCGGAATGATTAATAAAATTTAATACGACAAGTATTATAAAATTTTAAACGCATCTTTTCACGTTTGCATGAGAATGCAATTAAGGGGGGAAACTTGCGATTATGGAAAACGAACCATTTTACAGACAATGTATATAAAGATATCGAGAGATTTGTTGCCAATAAAAGTTTTAAAATTCTGATTTGCTTGTATAATTTAAAATTCTTTGTTATCTCTTATGTTATTCTTTTCCTAGATTTGATGTGTTTTTTGTCCCGATAATTCTATTTTTTAGATCCACAACAAATAACAGATGAAAAAAAATCATAACGAGAAACTAATTCACAATGATCCAACACAAGAAACACTCTTACGTAAAAGAATAAAAATAGAAGTTCGATAAAATAATCTAGATCGGTTAAATAATTTTAAACGTAAACGAATTATGCGAAATGATGGCATAATACAATAAATAAATAAACTATTGCTAAAAGGCAAAACAAAGATTGCAGATGCAGAGGGAAAAAATTGGCTGAGAAAAAAATATCATCATACGTATAAAAAAGCTTAAATTCGTCGTTATTTTATTTTCCCTAAGCAATCCCTCGCGCAAGAACGAATCATAATTCGATCACCGGGGGCAAAATAAACAGGTAATCCATGCATAAATTAACACGAAATAATTTAGAATAAAGAAAATATATACATCATTTTTACAAAAAAAAAATATATATATATATATATACATCAATTGACTTACGTGTAGAGAAGACCGAGAAAATATGTTTCTGTTCGTCTCTGTGACTTAAGTGTTGTGTTCTGTCCGAGAGAGAGAGAGAGAGAGAGAGAGAGAGGGGTGTTTGTAAAAAACACAAAATGATTCGAACAGTACATTAATTACGTCGACTTACACGTAGACGAGATCGAGAAACAGCGTTGTCTTGTTCCTTGTCCAAGATTTTTCTTGTCGGAGAGAAAAGAGGGAGTGTTTGTTTCTCGGGAAAATTAGTGTGAGAAAATGAGAGAGAGAATGGTTCTGGACGAAGCGCCGTGAGCGGCTATTTATACGCTGTTTTGCTTCTTTGAAATATTCCTTCCGTCTCTTTGGTATATTCTCTCTGACTTTTCAATTCACACCTCCAGTTGTCTTTCTTCTTCTTTTACCCTTTTTTTTACAGCTATGGTTTTTTTACTGATTTTAGGGTTTTGGTTTTTTTTCACGCTGTCCCCGTTTTTCTGTTAATCAATATTTGGGAAAACTTTTATTTGTTAGATTATAAATATTTTATAGGGCCAATTCATGTGCTGAAACTGTTTATTTTCGTAATATTTTATCAAGAGAATATCATTGAATTTCCTGATCGTAGTGAACTGTCATTTTTTTTTTCTCTATGTGTTTTGAGTGTGCCAGAAATTCTTAACCATATTCGCATAATTACCGCAGAAAAAGGTAAGAAAATTTATATATTAAAAAATATCGATTGGGAGTCTTTAATATTTTTAAACTCTGGATAATCTGATTACTTGAACATTCAGACCCATTATTTTCCTTCTAGCCTAAATTTGGATATATTATACCCAAAAAGATCACGTGGATCTTTATAGAAACATAATTTTTTAGAATATTTTCAGACTTTAACATAATTGTTATAATCATTTATAAGATAGATAATTTTCAAAGGTTTTGAAGATATAATGGTGTTAGAAAATAATACTAAATAGCTATTTGTAGTTTAATATCATAATCAATATAATATATAATTGTTGCTTAATATGAGTAATTGCGTTAATTATTATAGATACCAAATGTGTAAATAAAGGAAAGTATACGAATTAAATAATTATGTAAATATCATAAAATATATTTTTTATGAATGAATTACAAAAATAACAATAAAAATATTACGAATTAGAAAATAGTAGTTCGATTCCGATTTGGTTGATTTTATTAACATATATGGGTTGAATCAAGATCCATTATGTCGTTGTTTATTTTGTAATTCCTGGTTTCTTTTTCATTTAAAAAGTTTGTTACATTTTCGAATTCCTTAACTCATTAGTTTGTATATAATAGCATGTATAAAAATGATTTGTAAATCAAAAATCATCAAAAAATTATTCTAAAACTCTTTTTCTTTTGTTTATCACCTTCTTCGAATTGTTGAAATAATCAAATGTAGTAATCGTAAAATATAATATTGATGCAATAAGTTTTTGAAATAAAAATATTCAGAGAAAACTAATTTATAAAATTTCTTCAGATGCATAAATGATATACTTTTTATTAACTACAAACAAATTCAAATAAACTTTGTCTTTCTCAAATTGCCCAAAACAAATCTTATAACATTTTAAAAACTTTCATAAAACCTATCAAGAATCTATAAATCTACGAAAGAAAATCAAAGCTTGAAATTTAGAAAGACAAACAAAAATGAATCGTTTTTTACTTTCTTAACTCTATTTTTCAAAAACCATCAGATATTTAATAAGTATAACGTCGTTTTTTACACATAAAATTAAAGATATTTCTTTTTGTTTTTCTTATATTGCAGCAGTTTTTCTTTTCGCAATTAGGGTTTGAACGGGGTACGCTTTGAAGTGTTAACTGCAAAAAAGAATCTTTCTTATATAACGGGTCTACATATATTTTGTACATATTTTAAATGTGCCGAGAATTTTTAACCATATCCGTTTTCAGATGATGTTTATAGAACTATAATTTTTTAGAATATTTTTAGACACTAACATAATTATTTATAATTATTTATAAGATAGATAATTTTCAAAGGTTTTGATGGTATAATGGTGTTAGAAAAGAATACAAATAATTGTAGTTTAATATCATAATCAATATAGTATATAATTTCTGTTTAATATGAATAATTGTTTTCAATTATCAATTATCATAGAAGTATAAATAAAGAAAAATATATGAATAAATCATTATATAGATATCATAGTTTTCTATTTTGTTACAAGTAAAATATAAAATAACAAAAGATATTATTGATGGTGGTTTCTAGGTTAAACCTATAGAAAATCTATAAATATATATTTTTTATAAAATAAACTATTCTTACGTTCTATCTTAAAAGACTTACACCGGCAATATATTATATTCGTAATGGTACTCTATATTTTTAAATGGTAAATATATTTGTATAATTGAGATTTAAATTGAAGATTTTTATTTTAAAAAATATCGAAAAACTGATGAAATTTAGTGAGATCTAGATTTTTTATCAATTTATTTTAATATATTAGAATTTTTAAAACTATTTTTTTATTTATAATTACTGATTAAATTACATGAGAAGTGGAAAAGAAACCCGATATAAAGTAAAAATTAATTAAGAGATTTAATGTTTTTAATTGAAATAAGATAACCTTAGTAGTATTGTCAATCTTTAAATTTGTATATGTTATATAAAAAACATTGGATCTCCATTATAGTGATATTTATAAAAAATATACCTTTTACCAATATTCTACCTAATATTGTCTAGTTTGTCCCATTCTTGCATGACTATTTTTTAAGTTAGATATTTTTTTTTAGTTTTTTTACCATAAAATAGACAATATATAATCATCCAATATCTCTAAATGATTATGAATCATAATATAACTTAAAGTCGTTACAAATAAACAATATCTTCAATAGGAACAGTAATTTATTTTTATTTTTATAAGAACCGATATCGAATACTTTTTTGAAAAAAATGATATAATATCACAAATTTAATCAAAATTTTGGAAAATGATTTTTTAACTCTCATATAAAACATGAAATTGTCCATAATTTGGAAGTTAATTATGGGGTCATTATTAATTTTCAAAATTTGGAATGCAAACATGAGTTAATATCAAAATTTCAGAAGTTCATATTCTATCTTAAAATTGGTGAATTATTTGAAGCGCCTTGACCTGCATGGGGTTTGACCTCCTCTGATCAACTTGACGAGTAGATAAGGATGTCTTGCTTGACTCGTTAAGCTCACGTGTCGATAAATTATTGCTTGTGAGCGTTGACTTGTATCTTCGTAATTCAAACAGATTGGGTTACATGTAATCGACGTCTATTTAATTATTTATTAGATCAAAGGGTTACAACTCAATCAAGTTTTACCGATATAGTATCATTCCATAGGTCTACTATTCTATTTATATTTATTGGAATTCTCTGAATTCATAAATCAAACTTTAACTCGTAAATCATGCTAATAAATTCAAAATGAATAATAATAATAAAAAATTAGCTGTATGACTAATAAAATTCAAAATGACCATAATTCCGAAGAATTACATGTACAGATCCCAAGTGTAAAGAGAACTACAAGTCACATGTTGGAGCATTAATATGAAAAAAAAATGTAAATGAGTGAAATAGATCTTTGCACGTTCGAGTTTATTTTCTAAATGTATACCACACAGTGTTACACTAAACGAAAAATTACATGTGGGATTGTGTAGAGGATTTCGTCAGTATAGTACAAATCATAGCGGTTTGATCTGGTCTCCTATTGGTATAAGGTTAGATTGGACTCTCTTAATTAACAGAAATTGTTATTTTGTAGAAATAAATAAATAAAAATTATGGATAATCAAGTATGTTTTAATGTCGATATATTATTTTGGTTGCTCCTTTGAATCTGGGCATATAGGGTGTTAATCGGGTCTAAATAATCAAATACGAAATCCAATATAAACTCAACTCGAAAACCCGAAAATTTTCGGATAGAGATTTTTAGCCCCAAAACCTGCTATTTTTCGGGGTGGATTAGACCGGACTTCGGACCAAAGTTGACGGTCTATATGATGTGGGTAGGATGGTGGATACAAATAATGTTATGATATGCATCGCATTAGGAAAATATTATTTGACCGTTTATCGTGATTATTGGTAAATGTTATATTCTCCCTGTAGTAATAAATTTTAAAATTAAAATTTATAAATAATTCAGGAAGTGTTCACTTCTTTAATCTGGCTTGGCAGTAGTCCAATTCAAAAGGCCGAAATGATCCCATGAAAAGGGTCAACCAACCATAGAAGAGTTTTGGTTGTATGTATGTATATTGAGATATTTAACTTTCAAACGTTAGGTACAACCAAACTATATTGAATGATTTGTAACCCTTTTTTTAAAAATGTTCTAAATGTCTCTTTTTTTATTAGTCAAGCAATTGTTGGCTAATGCATCAACATCATTTGACAATATATGCTGTAATTCATGCCAATATATATATATATATATATATATATATATATATATATATTGATTGGTGAAGGTCTATGATAATGATGACAATTGAAAAATAGCTTTTCATGAAAAAAAATATTATCCAATTGGATTCAAAATAGTTCACTGTATAAAAATTGAATAAAATATTCTCAAATAAATACACAATTCTCGTGATTATAAAGAAATAGTTTATGTACTCTTCTGTTGAACAACAAACCGAATTATATAAATGAAAGTAAACCAGACTAAACCGAAGTATTCAACATCTAATAATATGTACAAACCTTTATAAACTATATATATATATATATTGAAATTTAATCATTGTCCAACTATAATTATCGTGGTAAAGCTATTATAGTACATCATAAGTTTTTTAATCATCCATGACATACACGTGATGTCATGCATACTCACTAGGCCGAATAAAGGGTATGTTACGTGAAAATCCGATTCGTGATTTTTTAGGTATACTAATGGCCGAAGAGCCAAGTTGAAGATGACATAATCTTTTTTATTACTTTTTTAGAAGATCATATGATAATATAACAATTCGTAAAAAAAGCTAAAAAAATCTATAAATTTTAAAATTTTTAAAATAAATATACAGATTTTTCCTAATTTCTATATTAAATCCTAATTTTTTTACAAATAATAAAATTAAATCATAAATTTTTAAACAATTTTTAAAAACAATTTTTGTGAATCGTTTAAAAATTCAGGTTTTGAATAGAAATTAAGAAGATTTTACATGTTTTTTAGAAATTTTAAATTCATATATTTTTTTTCAGAAATGTTTTATAAGTTAATGCAGTAATATACAATTTCTCTTACTTTTTATTTTTCTGAGTCCTTGACCCTTTAAAAATTAAGGAATGATCAAAGTCTTCTCGTTGCATGGACCCATTTTTGTAAATTCTTAGAATGTGACCAATCTATACGTAATCTACGATAGTGAGAGGATTGTCTTAAAAGTCTACATAATTGAAGTATATGCAATTAAAAGATGTGGACTTTGTAAAGACAAAATATCCAAAATACCTTATTTTTGCTAAACGTATTTCTGCATATAACATCTTCCAGATATGTCCATGTGACCAGAATAACTGTACGGTCACATGATCACATTGGTTACAACGTTAAAATTTTGATGATTTCAATGTAAGCTGTAACTATAGTGATTGGTGTAATCACCATAAATTTAACGTTATAACCAATGTGACCATCATGTGATCATACAGTTATTTTGATCATATAATCATATGTGAAAGAGGGTATGGACAGAAGTAGTTTTAGCAAAATGATGATATTTTGGATAATGTCCTTGTGTAAATCCAGAAGTCATTTATTAAAAACTTCATATGACATATTTTCGAAATCACGTATACCACAATTAAATTGTACACCTTCTATCCAACCGCGGTTTGAATATGGGATTTGGGACAGAGGTGTTCCTACTTTTTCAAGAAAATGCTATAAAACGCAATCGCAATGCGGACAAAATACTGCGGTTTGAACATTAACGATTAGCTGCGGCTGAGCCAATCGGCTTTGCAATCACGGCAATCGCGTTGTGGCCAACCACACCCCAAGTCCACGACAGTATCTGGCATTGGTACATCGTCCATGTACAAGAATCTCGCAACATACAACAAAAGTACATATTCTCGCCTCCATAGACGGTCGAATCCAATATCCACGGCTTGCTCAATATTGTCACCCCCGGCTCTCCTGTAAATGACGGGGGAGATCACACACTCTCTGCCCATGATTCCTCACTTACATAGACCAATATATCTCTTTGTTGCGTGACCAAGCAAAAAACCATTGGTAGAAGAATGATGATGATGATGATGATGATGATGATGATTTTCCAACACAAAACATGAATATATCAACATTTTAATCAATCAATCATTCCTCTGGTGGCTTTGTCTTTTGAACTCAGAGAACATAAAACCCCCTAAAATACAATTCTATAGTTGGAAACTTGACCAAAATTCCCAGACCCAAAAACATGGCACCTCCTTTTCATCTAAAGATGAAGTAACTCTTTCTTACTTCTAAATTCTAATCACAAGCAAATGGGATGAAAGGATTGGAATCTTTCTTCTTCTTTTATGGTGCCATCAGACCATCGATCGTGTATGATAGAGACTTCGCCCAGTCGGTTTTAAGCACCATAGTTTGCAGTGTGTGCATCACATCATATCCTGGATCGAGTTTCCGTTGCCATCCCTACATTTATACCGATCCTCAATGTTATCAGATCCAAGCATATCTTACAGTATGCAGAGTTCACAGCTTAAGAAACAAAAAACACACAACATCGTCATGTACAGTTACCAAACAGTTTCATAGGCAAGCCTCTAGCTTCCTGTTTTAGCTAACATTTTCGAGTTTTGGTTCCATGTCTTCAGGAATGAGAATCAGTGAAGATTTCTGCTAATAAACATTGTGAAATAAATGACGTAAAAAAGGAACAAAATAATAGTAACCCACCTCGAGAACTAATGTCGTGACCATTACAGTGCACACGTTCCCGTCAATGTTAACTCTATACCGCCTTACTTTCTCGAGCAATTCATGCATGCAATCAGCTGGATGAACTAAATCTCCCTCTGGTGTTCCCCAGAATTTGAATGCCTCCTCTACTTCCTACAAAGCATATATGTACTTTAACCGATTTCAGGGGACCATTTATTTTTATGCTTGTGTCTGACATATTACCTCAGTGAAAGCTTGCGGGTTCGGGCAAGACTGTTGTTTTGATAATCTAAGTGTGCACTCAGCAGCGGTCCGACCATCCCTACGTGCAACCGCCTTGAAAAACTCAAGCAAGTTTTCTCGGTCATTCCTCGAGAGTTCAGCAGTCATTCCCACATCGAGGAAAACGACATGGGGCTTCTTCGATTTGAAAAAGCCCCCACGAGAAGCTTTCTTCCGCACGAGGATATTTCCAGGGTGCATGTCAGCATGAATAAAGTTGTCCACCTGAATTCCGAATATATTTATGAATTAGAGGGTGAAACTAAAATATTTCAAGTTCAAGCAGGCTAAAAGAACAACAAGAATTTTTATAGAAGTCGCCCTCTCCCTACCAATGCTTGAGGGCCAATAAGGAGCTTCAGCTACTCAGGAAGTATGAGTGTAATACTGTAATATAAGATTAAGCTTTAAGCCGTTATACCGAGAACAAAGAATACTGTTATTTCAGTTATTAATATGTGCATTTGTTCAAAATAAAGAATCAAGATTTTCTAATAACGAAGAATCAGTCTCATGACTCTCATGTAAAGGCTACTAAGTTAACAATGCAACGCAAGTATTACACTCAAGCAACAGAGGCAATACCAGGAGCATCTTCAGAAGTGCATGAGTCCCAATGTGAGCCAGCCTAGTCTTGATCTGCTCATGGCCTTCCGTGTCATCAACGTAACGAGAAACACTTTCTGTTCAGCTGTCATTCCCACATCAAGGAAAACGATGTGGGGCTTCTTTGATTTGAAAAGGCCTCCACGAGAATTCTTCTTCCGCACAAGTATATTTCCCGGGTGCATATCAGCGTGAATAAAGTTGTCCACCTGAATTTCAAGATACAGAAGCTGTTATACCGAGGCAAAAGATATGAGAATTGCATCTATCAAGAAACATAATTGTCTAATAACACGATTATAATACCAGGAGCATCTTCAGAAGGGCATGAGTCCCAATATGAGCAAGTCTAGCCTTGATCTGTTCATGACCTTCTTCCATGTCATCAACGTAACGTGACACGCTTTCTCCTTGCTCATAAGTCTCAACCAGAACAGCGGGATGTACCAGAGGATATACGGGCTTTGGAAAAGAGACATCTTTCCATTTGCGGAAGTTATATATAAACCGACTCAAATGGGAAGCTTCCCTTGCGAGATCAACTTGGGACAACATGAAAACTGCAAACTGTTGAACACTCTCATCCAATCTCAACCACTTCAATGCCGGAACAAGATTAGATATCTTCGCAACCATATTGATTATCTCGAAATCTCTCCTAATTGATTCACCAACACCAGGATGTCGAACTTTAACGGCAACCACATTGGGCTTAGACTTTTGTCCTGGATACTGAAACCTCAAGGAAGCTCGATGAACTTGGGCAATACTCCCAGATGCCACTGGGGCCTCTTCGAAATCCTCAAATATCTCAGAAAGTTTACGACCAAATGCCCTTTCGATAGTTTTCTTTGTGTAGGCATAGCTGTGCTCGGGAGCTTTACTGTGAAGCTTTGAGAGCTGCGAACACAAATCCCTTGGAAAGAGATCTGGACGGGTGGCTGCCCATTGACCCCATTTAATGAAAGCAGGACCTGCTCTTTCCAAAGTACGATGAACGATCTCAAGCCATAGTCTCCTAAAGCGAGGCCCACAGATGTCGGCAAAGGGTGCCAGCATTATACTCGGAGAAAACAAAACAGATAAATAGAGCGCCCTTGCAAGCAGAATAATGCCCTCTACTACCGAAAGTAGTAGAGAAGTCAGATAGATAGGCCCATTCTTTGCACTCATATACATAGGGTAATGATCTACGACTGGACCAGTAGCTCCTTGCGCCCATGCTACTTGTCCACATGTAACAGCAAAGATACCAGGGACCAACAAATGTGAACGGGTCAGCGACAAGCTGACCGCTTGGGCAATCGTGCTTATACGAGGCCAACTCCAACAGCTTGTAGAATACTTACGATGAAGCCTTTTCCAAGCAACTTGGGCATGATGTGTAACTACATTGCTTGAAGAGGCAAGCGAATAACTTCGCGAGAGAATACTGCTAGAAAAACCTCTTTTCGCATCACGCAGGGAGAATGGGCTATGCCCATTAAACGCAAGTCTAGACTGCGTGCAAATTCTGAATTGGGGCAACCTTAGAGCAACCGTAACAACTGTTCTATAGCTCCTCGAATCTGGAACTCTGTTTTTCTGGTTCGAGATATGCGATGTTGTGTGTCGGTTAACAGCTCGAAAGGTCAAAAATCTGCAAAGCAGGCAAGGAAACAAGAAATTAGCTTTTACTAGGACGGCGAAAGAAACAATTCATCTTGCAACAAAAGTCTCGCTGAGGGTCCGATCGGCGAATGGAAACATCATTGAGATTATACAAATCATGAAATCTTCCAAATTTAACAAACAAATAGACATACGCTTGGATTTTTTTAAAACCCTGGAATCAGAATCTGTCTCCGAGGAAACGGGAGGACAGAAACTCGATCTGAATCCGCGACAAAGCACGGAAAAACGGAAACCCAGATTGAGAGAAACGAAACCCTAGTGAACATGAAATAGAATCCGACACATGATCAACGAAAAAAAACATGAACGGACGCAAAAGAACGAACCTTGACATGGCGGCGACAAACGTGCAAACGCGTGTTGGGTATGGATCTCTACAACGAAAAAATTGAGGAACATCTTCTCATTGACTTTGGCTTTGTGGTGGGCTAAGAGCAATGGAAAACTCGTCGTCGTTTTTCCCGGGGCTTTTTCAAGGTTAATAGCTCCCGAAGAAACCTAAACGCAGAGAACGAAACGAGAGAGAGAGAGAGAGAGAGAGAGAGAGAGAGAGAGAGAGAGTCAGCGAATTTGGAGTTTGGTTTCAGCCAACACAGGTATTTAAGTCTCTTGGGCTTTAAAACCCAAAACTATAATTTTGTCGGCCCAAAATTGTATTTTATGATTATTTTAAATAGAAAAAAAATCGATCTTCTTGTAAACTAAACTTGTTCCTAGTATTTTTTTTTTGGTCTTCTAGGAATGTGTTACTCCTAAAGTTCTAGAAAATATTTATTCCATATTGGACTAAGTTTTATTATATATAATTATTGTAATGTTCGTATAAATATGTGTAATTTTGGAATGTTTTTGAACTATTGGAACGCCTCTCAAACTCTTTTACTCACAAATTTGACATGTTCGAACATGAATCTCGATTACTCAATTACATCAACGATTATATCTATTTCTTACAATGGATGTTATAATGAATCGATCGTATAAAATAAGAAAAAAAAAACGAATAATTGGATTTAAGCACCGTCTCCTTTTCATACGCTCCATGTCGTAATAAAATTGGTGAACCAAAGGTTACGTATTCTGAAAATTCAACATGGAAAAAAAACAAAGGAACGGTCTCTATAACTGTACTGAAAGATGTGATCGATTTCTTCCCAACAGCTAATTACAGACACAACAGGAGCTTTCGCAGTTAATGCTTCAGGACCCTCGTGCAGTTACTAATCCCAACTGCTTGAGTTTCGGTCAGATTTTTCAGAACAAAAATCCAACCATGGATCTGCAGAAAATGTTGCCTCTTGTCAAGATACTTCTCATCTTCTTCATCGGTTCTTGCAGCTCAAGCGATGACGCAATCCTCAGATCAAAGCCCTTGAGAGACGGCGACATCGTCTACTCAAAAGGGAGGAAATTCGCCTTTGGATTCTTCAGCCTGGGGAACTCGAAAAGACGGTATGTCGGGATTTGGTATGCTCAAGTTTCAGAGCAAACCATTGTTTGGGTTGCAAACAGAGACCATCCAATTGATGATACATCAGGAGTTGTCAGACTCAGCAGCGGAGGAAATCTCTGTGTATATGCAAGAATCGATGGAACAGAACCTGTTTGGTCCACGGACGTTTCGGATACTGTCTCAGGACAAGCTCTTGTTGCTTACCTTACTGATTTAGGCAACCTTGTTTTGGTTGATCCTGTCACCAAAAATGTTTTCTGGCAGAGTTTTGATTATCCTACAAACACTATGCTTCCGTTTTTGAAACTCGGGTTTACACAAAAAGACGGTAAGGATAGGTCTCTAACCTCATGGAAATCTCCTGATGATCCGGGTTCCGGAAACTTCTCGTATCGGATAACCCGAAATGGGTTTCCACAGTTGATTTTGTACAATGGGTTAACCCCGTTGTGGCGAACCGGGACCTGGACAGGGCAGAGATGGAGCGGTGTACCCGAGATGACAAACAGATTCATCTTTAACGTTACCTTTGTGAATAACCTGAGTGAAACATCAATCGTGTATGGTGTGATAGATCCGTCAATCATTACAAGAATGGTTATAAACGAGACTGGAACCCAGCAAAGGTTCACATGGAATGGAAGGGAGAAGAAGTGGATCGGGTTTTGGTCCGCCCCGAAAGAGCAATGCGATTATTACGCTCATTGTGGACTCAATGGTTACTGTGATCCCACGAGTTCAGACATGTTTGAGTGCAAATGCTTGCCGGGGTTTGAGCCAAAGTCACCTCGTGATTGGTTCTTAAGGGATGCTTCCAGTGGATGCCTGAAGAAAAACACGTCTCAAAACCCTGGAATGTGTCGGGGTAGAGAAGGGTTTGCGAAGTTAGAGCATGTGAAGATTCCCGACACATGTTTTGCGAGAGTGGATCTGAATATAACATTGAAGGAATGTAAAGCAAAGTGTTTGAAGAACTGTTCTTGCGTTGCGTACGCAAGTGCATACCACGAGATAGAAGGTGCTACTACAGGTTGCTTGACATGGCATGGAGGCATGCTTGATACGAGGATTTACGTTAACTCGGGACAAGATTTCTACGTACGTGTAGACGCGGATGAGTTAGGTATATATACATATACAAACAAACACACACACACACACACATATATATATATATGTATTTGTTTCTTTACATAGAATTCTAATTGATATATGTATGCTTTTCTGTTTCAGCAAGGTGGAACAAGAAAACAACGTTAGGGAAAAGGAGAGTGATCTCAGCTCTACTCAGTTCGGTTGCCGCGATACTCTTACTAAGCGGACTTATGCTCTGTTTCGTAATAATGAAGCGAAGAGGTGACCGAATCTCGGGATCGTTTAAGTTTCTTTCTGTTTGTTTCTGTTTACAAGTAATATGTGCAGAGTTTCCAACTTTGAACCATTTATAACTTGCAGAGTCTAAAAGGCGAAGCATAACTTCGATAGCTTTTACAGAGAGTTCTTTAAATCTCGAAGATTCTTTCAGCGAAGAACAGTTTGACGAAAAGGGACGAAAGCGGGATTTACCTTCCTTCGAGCTTAACATAGTTGCTTCAGCAACAAAGAACTTCTCTTCTGATAACAAACTCGGAGAAGGCGGTTTCGGGTCTGTCTACAAGGGGTTATTACACAATGGAACAGAGATAGCGGTGAAGAGGTTGTCGAGGAACTCAGGGCAAGGAGTAGAAGAGTTCATGAATGAGGTGAAGCTGATATCGAAGTTGCAACACCGAAATCTCGTGAGGATTTTCGGGTGTTGTGTCGAGGCGGAAGAGAAGATGTTGATTTATGAGTACTTACCGAACAAGAGTTTGGACTATTTCATTTTCAGTACGTTTTCACATCATCAATATCCGTTTAATACAGCTCTAATGAATCTATCTCTAGAACATGGATTATAGTTCTGGTTTTTTCGTGTAGATGAGGAAAGAAGATCAATGCTGGATTGGCGAAAACGGGTGGAAATAATCCGAGGGGTCGCTCGGGGAATCTTGTATCTTCATCAGGATTCAAGGCTTAGAATCATCCATAGAGATCTCAAGGCGAGCAACGTTCTCCTCGACAACGAAATGAACCCGAAAATCGCTGATTTCGGCATGGCCAGGATTTTCGGAGGCAACCAAATAGAAGGCAGCACGAAGCGTGTCGTAGGGACATAGTGAGTTCACCCCCTCCCAACACTTTCCGAATCTGGCATATATTAACAAAGGTTTTAATGTTGCTATCTCGTCTTCCGATGACAAAATCTCCTTTTACTAGAAAAGGAGA